TATCTAAAAAACAATTTGATATTCCATTTTCTATCTATTATATATACTACAAGGATGAAAATATAATTAAACCTAAAAATATAACTTAAATTAAGAGGAATATAAAAAGAGATTAAAAATAAAATTATTTCTTGGGAATTTTTAAGGTTTCACTCTCTCCTTATTGGTCCATTTAGCATTTATTTTTAATTATAATATTTATTTTTAATTAAACCAAATATCTAACACATTTAGTCATATACTTTAATTCATACTTGAAATCCACACTTTACTATTAAATTGTAACTTAAATTATATTAACCTTTCAATTGACTATTTGTTTCCTCCATTTAACTTCAATTAACACACTATAAAATATAATTATAACTCCTCTGATTTAATTATTTTAGAATTGTAACTTACATCATATTTTATCCTATAAATACTCATTTTTACATCCTCCTCCACCATATCTGATATGCTCAATATTTTCTTTGTTTAATTTTTAATGTTCTTGCATGGGTTAAAACTCAATTAAGATATCATTGTAAGAGATTGATTATATATTTGGTTAAAACTTTTGTTTTTAATTATATTTCTTCTTTATTTTATGTACTTCTTCATTTTTTCATTGTTTTTTATACTATTAAATGTATAATACATATGTATAATAATATTTTCTGGCTATAAGGAAATTACTTTATCGATAGGATTCAAAAATATTGATTTCTGACCATCGCAGCATAAGAAAATCAAGCTAAATAAACCATCATCATTGTTTTACTTTATATGTTTTTTTCTTTCTCACATATTCATGTATATTTATTTTATTTTCAAAGTATGTAATTATTTTAACAAAATATTGTTTTGTTATATTCAAACCAATTTGTAAGACATTGAAATAAATAAAATTTTATACACAAATAAAGGTAATTTTTGAATATACATATTTGGATAAATTTCAACATTTTTAGTGGTTGTTTTGATAAAGTTTGAAAAGATGGTAAATTTAAAAAGTGGTATTTTTAAAGGGGTATTTTTTAAATTCTCCCAATATCATTCCTATTTTTATCATTAAAAATATTATTGTTTTATCAAAAAAATACTTAAAAGTACTAAAGAAAATTACTATCAAAATTGATTAATTGAACAATTAATCAACGAATAAACTCAAAAGATATGGATGTATGCTTCTATTGTATGATTTAAATAAATAACATGTAAAAATGTCATAAGCATTAAAATTTATTTAATTTATTTATTATAAGTAATAAATAAGTTAAAATAATTAAATAAATATACAACAACCCGCGCATATGCGCGGGACATTACCTAGTTCATAAATAAAGTTGGCATTTTTTTAATAAACAATTAGTTTGGAAGTTTGACAAAAATTTTGAAAACGCGCCAATTTTCATATATATCAATAATCAGTTAGAAACTGTTAAAAAAAAATCAAAGCGTGCCAAATTTTAGAAAATATCAAACATCTGTTAGAAACCGTTATAAACAAAAGTTCAAAGCACGCCAAAATTTTGAAAGTGTTCAATTTGGTTAACATGTTGCTTTAGAATCATTATATTTCTTCGGTTTCTAGGATTTGCTTACTGTATTTGATTTATTTATCTCTTTGGATTATAGATTAATTATCTAACTTTCAAATAATTGTTTTTTAAGTAGGACTTGAAGTAGTTATATGTTAAAAAGTATAGTATATTAAACATTTATTTTCCACAATATATCACTACCAAAAAACAGTTTTTCATGATTAAGCAACTGCATAACTAGCAAGATATTATAGTCATGGAGCCTATGAATAGCTCTTTATTATCCCATTTTTACCAAGTTGGTTAAGTAAATAAAAACTTAATTCAAAATAAATATATTGCTAAATAATAATTTCTTTAAATTTCTCTAAATGTTCTTCCATATTTTTCATATAATGATATGTATTTGGTTTGTGTTAATTGAAAGCCATCGTTATACTTATACCGTATAGTGTGTTATGTGGGATCATGCCATTTCATATACTTAGTTGGTCTTGGATGTTTTTATTTTTTGAAACACTTATATGCCAATTAATTATTTTTCATACACGTTTTCATAATTGGAAAATAGTTTTTTCATCTTTAAACATGACATTGTATTTTTGCCCCAAAAAATGGCATTGTATTTAATAAAATGTTTTACATATTACTACCAAAAAATAGATTCATGTAAGAAACCATAAATAATAGTATTGAAATTTATAGTCAACATGACTTTGGTAATAATAATATATAATGTTGAACCATATGCAAGTCAAATAAAATATTTTTCAAATTAAGTAGTTTCCATCAACAGATTTATCAAATTTACTGTATTCTTTTACATTGACTGAAAATAATTCTGAATATTGAAAGAATAATAATATAGTAAAATAGCAATTGTGTTTTATTTCAACTTAATCATTTTAAACTGTATTAAAGAACAAAAATTTCATCTTTTGGAAAATAATTAAAATTTAAAATTAAATAATTCCAACTTAATGGTTTCTGAACTAATAATAATTTCAGATTAAAAATAAAATTTACACTAGATGAAAATAAAATATTTTTAAATAGTTTCTGTTTTTTAATACTCTTACCTTATTGTTTTAGCATCATTTCTCATCTTAATTGACTATTCAACTTAACTGTATTTCCATTCATTAGAAAATCGTTACTTTCCCGCGTTTCTAGTTTGAAATCATATGTTTTTATCAAACTTTTAATCTTAATTTTTTTTTATAAACCTTAAAAGTCAAAACATCAACCAGTTAGTTTCTTACTTAATATTGATTGTTCTCAATTTTGATATTATAAGAGAATTTTTCTGAAATAACTCAACATATGATAACAATATTAATAAAAATGACTAAAATTTTAGATTTTCATTAAATGTCTACCTAGTATAATATATGATGTGTAAATATAATTCAAGTAAACGCAAACGCAGTCGTGTGACAAATGGACTTATTTTCCACCAGAGACTTCTCAACTTGTCCTTATAAAATCCCATCATCACTTCTTCCTTTTTTCCACATTGCAAAATCTTAAACTACCTCTCCATCTATCAATAAACAACAAAATGGTGCGTATTAGTATAGTTTTCTTCAATCAAAATGATATTTTCTAGCTTTTCTTTCATTTTTTTTCTCATGATCTATAATTTTTTTTTTTTTCATTTTATAAAACTTTCTAGTCTGACGGATCTGATCCAAACTTTCCAAAAGGTATGAATATTATTATAAAATTACAAAATCTCCCTTCGACTCATGACTTCACCGGATGAGTTATTTTACTCTACAGATTATGAGTTCGATGCGGAGGTGAAGACCGCATATTTGGCACCTATATTACTTAGAGTTAGAAAACCAATGGTAATTATCATTTTTTTAACTTTGTTATTATTTTTCTTGTTTATAGCAAATATAACACTACAAATGGAATCTTCTATAAACGTATCATTTTGTCAGAACGTGATTAGCGTCCTACATGCTTATGCTGTAAAAATGAGAGTCGGATTAATCATACTCTCTGCGATAGGAGCTGTTAGCAATGTTTTGTTCCCTCTGAATATCAAGAAAAATTATGACGAGGTATGATTCATTCCATTTTTCGTATAATTAAGAAAATGATTTAATTTAATTTCACATGGTTTTGTCAAATTTTTAATTATGTTAGGGGATTTATCGAATTCTGTCCTTCACGGGTAAGATTGTACCTCACAGAGTGGGAGAAATTATTGGGGACATACAACTTTCAATGTCTAACATTCATGGTGCAACGGTTGGTGGAGTTGTGGAGTCTCTTATACCTGATACTATTGTTGAGGTGATAATTAATTTCATATCTATACATAGATTTAGGTTACATATGTGGTCAAAATGATATTTTTTTTGTTATTCATGCATGAATCTAAATCTCTTGTCGTGATTACAACAGGTGATTGTATGTCCGTTTCACCTTGATCCGGATGTTTCTCGTCTATTTGGTATATATCCTCCAAGGCTAATTGGGAATAACTTTATGCTAAGCTCTAGTCTATCAATTAGTTCTTCTAGCGACGACATCTCAAGTTCTTATAATGGCGGACCAAGTCAATCTAACGAACAGATTCTTTGTGCCGAATCATCATGTTCTTCCAACAAATCAACTCCTTACCAACCAGACCCTGCTAACGAACCAAGTGCTTCTTACGAACTAAGTTGTAACTACGAAGCATGGCATGATGAATCAAGTCCTTCTAACCAATCAAGTCCTTGAAATTGGTTCGGTATAAGCTCTAATAATATCATATAATATAAATCTTATGAATAATTAAAAACATATATATATATATTTTTGCTAAACAAATTCTTATGTTAAGCTTTAATTTTATTTTGGTTATCAATAATAAAAAATCTTTGTTTTCTTAAGTGTCAAATTATATATGTTCCCATCTTGTTTTAAAAAATTTGTTAAGTTAGAAAATTTGAAACCGCGCCAAAGTTGTAGATATCAAAAATCTGTTAGATACCGTTATGAAACAAAAAAATTAAAGCGCACCAAATCTTCCAAACATGTTGAAAAAAATTCATTTTATCCATTAAGAAATGGGGTAATTAATACTAATAAATTCTTATTTTTTTGTAGTTATGAAAGTATCTATACTATTACAAAATTTTGGAAAATGTTAGAGACTATTCAACAAAAATTCATATATGACTATTTTGAGTTTCTTTAGTAAATGAATTTATATTTTGCTCAGTCAGATGTTAACTTACATTGGTGTAGTAGGAAATAAAGTATACCCAAAAACATTACTTGTTCATAAGGCAATCAATTAAATTAGTCTAATGTCTTACACATGTTTTAGTTGACTAGTTATAACTTATAAGTAATTGATGACAAAAAAAAAAAAAAAAAACTTATAAGTAATATATAAAGTGTTAAGAGTTATTTTTTTTTTAATTTGAAAACGATGACTCATTACATAGAGATAGAGTCATGTGATCTTATCATTGTCTTTATTAATAAGAGGATACAGTTTGACTAAATTTGATGACCCCATGCTTGCTATACTATTACTAGTTATTTGATACCAAAACGGGTAACAACGGTATATTTCTTAGAAGTTAGACAATAGAAGAAATACTACTTTTTTGTCGAGTTTTACATACTGAGCGAATATTCCGAGGTTCCTTTAACTTTGTTTTTTGATCTTCTAGTTGATGATTAATACAGTATATAACAAGATGGATTGATCATGTATTCATGTAGTTGTGAAAATAACAAAAGAGAAGAAAATATATCATCCTTATTAAATAAATCACAACCCAATTAAAGGGTCAAATGCAAATGGGTTTTAAAAAAAAAAACATTCAAAAATCACAAGACCATATTAAATCCCTTGAAAATAATAAACCAGATATAACATAGATACCATATGGATCACTCCGAGAAAACCTATCAATAGCATAAGAAGCTTGGAGACTCAGACGCTTTCCTTGGTTGGCTCAGGGGTCTTGACATGTATGGTGTCCTTCATCATCTTCGGGACCTTGAAGCTGAATTCTTCAATCAGTGCATAACTATATTCTGGATGGGCCGAAAGGTAGGCTTCAACTTCTTTGAGTGTCCTGCACTTCTCCCCAGTGGGAGTTTCGTAGTACGCATCGATCTTTGAGTAGTCAATTCTATGAATTAAGATCCTCTTGAAACCACTTGGTGTCGTAGGCAAGCCAGCCGTGTCAACGGCCCATATGTTGGAGGAATCATACTCTAGGGACCCCGGAACTGCGCAGCTCATACCTTCTTTCTTATTGCACTCAAACTTGACCTCGAGTATTCGACTCCTTATGGCTTCATAATCCTCTTGGGTATCAATCTCCCTCCACTTATGGCACTTGTCACATTGCACACTATAGATACCAATATCCCTCGCTGGAGTAGTGGCTTTTCTCTGCACATTACAAATATAAGATCTCTGTGAAAAGGAGAACCGCACTCACATACACTACACACAAGCTACTTGGATAAACAGAATCAAAGAAGAACCTTGCTACAACATGTCAAAATCCAGAAAATTTGATCAAACATGTCACTCATCTAATCTATGACAACATGCCTAACGCACACAAAGTATCACACTTTCAAGACCAGCATAAGTAGAAAAGATGTTTCAGAAAAAGATAACATAGGAAAGACTTCTTCTTCTAAAACACAGTTGGAACCACAAAATAGACAGACAGGAACCAAAGATATTGACAAAGCATCTCTTAGAACAAGAACCAAAGAAACAGATAAACGAAAACCCAAACAGCGGGAATGCCCTTATCTACCGGAAACAAGAAAATCATTCCACAACATAGCAGCACATTGACCAGGCAGAAAGGTTTTGAAATAATGATTCCCCAAAATGAATATTATATAGCTGGTTATAGCCATACGATCTAACAAAACTTCGTAATTAAATCCTAACTTAGTGGTGTGTGTGACGATACCTTAAGGCTTGATGATGACGCTGCTGAGTTGTTTGCCATCTTCCAATTCCCGTTGGAGAAATATGAACCTTTCCGGTGACTTAGACTGCCATAACAAAACAAATAAAAACACAATTTCAAGCCTTAACAATAACCCTAACGAGACGAAACTTCATAATTGAAAAAGATGGATTACAAATTTTTTGAAAGATCAAAACCAGAGAGATAGTGATTAAAAAGTTCATACCTTGCTCTGAGAAAATTTTGGTGGATTAGGAATTGAGATATGTTTTATCTTAAGCTCTTCGTTTATATTTCGAGATGTAATAATCTTCCCTAATCTTATCATACTGTATCTACAGATCGTGATATGATTGGTTTAAACGTTACACGTCATTCCTTAAGTAATCTCTTGTAGATTTTTTTCTTTTTTTCTTCAGCGTTTAGATTTTCTTATAAACTTGACGAATCTAGTTAAATTTTCTATGTGTTTTTCCTTTACTTAAAAGTTAAAAATCTCTAATAAAGTCTTATAATCAAATGTTTTTTGTGTAAATAGGCGCATGGATTACATACAAGTGCGCAACAAAAGGCTTGTATATCGGGTGGGCTTTTACACCAACCCCACCATTGGAAATGTGAAAAATAAAAAATTAAAATAAAAATAAAAATCGAAAGGACAAATAATGTTGTTTGGTGTAAAAAAGATTCTTAAATATTTCTTCTGATGGATACAAAAAAAAAGACAAAAATTTCAAAAAGACACTATTTTCAAGTTGAGTCGTATATTGAAGTGACTCTGTCTCCGACCTGTTCGCATTGTCTAACCCTCCAAGTGCTAACAACTTCTTCATATCTTCTTCAGTGTACAATGGCACGAACAGGTACATTTTATGATCACTACCAAACACCTGATTTAACATTAGAAACAAATAATTTTTTGAAGGCTTTGATTGTGTGTACGTTCAAGATTTCATTTCATTAGCCAGAAACTATTTCTATTGGCTCAGGAAGCGACCATAAAAGCATGAGTTTTTGAGACAGACAAAAGATGATGAAGAGAAAACATGTGGCCAGTTAAATGTATGCTTCTCATATGCCAGAGAGTATTCGTTTGGTCAGTGAATTTATTACCATTACCTTAGGCATGCATGAAGATCCCTGAGAAACCCCAAGTTAAGAGCAAAACCAAGTGAGAGTTGTTTTACCTCAATAGTTGTGGTGTTACGGGAGACCAAGATTATGTGCATAACTATGAAGCCTAGGACAATTAGCACCAACGCTATATCTTCAATACTGGAAAGCAAGAGAGTGAAGGTTTTGAATCAGATAAAAGAATTGGTAACATGAGTAAGGTGTTATGAAACAAACAAGCAAATTAAGATATGTGTCTTTGAACTCACCAAATGCAACAAATTAAGGTGGCTGCTAGTCTTCCAGGTTATATCAAGATCTCCATCACTGAAGAATATGAAGAAAACTGGCAATAGTGATACTGCAACCATCGTTGTCTGAAGAAAAGTGTAAAACTGCATTTGGACATATTGGGAATGCATTAAGATCGTGGCAACATTAATGAATACAACATATGAAGAATGATATATAGTGTGTATAAGGAAATAGTGGTTCAGGAAAATATGAGGTGCATGTAGAAGGTTGGGTTGTGTCATTACAGTCATAAGCATGGCTATAAAGCGAATCAGTTAGCATTAATCATAACAAAAGAAACAACTTTGCATTAACCTCGTTACAACATATATAACGTGACTATAGTTCTAACCATAATCATGTATTATAACAGTAAAGCCCAAAAACAACTTCATTCACTGATGCTATGATAAGTTGACATACAAAGGAATAGAAGAGGAAGCGAATTGAAGTGTGTGTGCACTGTCCAGTTCATCCATCGGACGGTTGCGATTTGCTGAGAAACCCAAAGGTAATCCACGTGTTCATCGGACGGTGCATCCCACGGATCGACGGTTAGTATTAGCTGAGAAATCCACGCGGACGTTGTCGTTTTTCTATATATAAACTTCCATTTTATTTTTTCTCGAGAAAGATTCTGGATTCTTTTTTTTCAGCTGAACGGGTGTGAAACGATCAAGAACTATCAACTATGGAGAAGTCTCTACCACTGACGACGCCACCTCTACCACCGCCACCACGGACGAGTCCACCGCCACCACCGATGAGGCCACAGCCACCACCGATGTACAATTCTTCATCTTCTTTTATCATTGTTTTATGCTTTCAATTTATTTTCTTGGTACGCAAGTCATCTCTGTTATATGCTCTGAATCGATGAGATTCTCCGTGAGGTTTTTGCATCTAGTGGTGAATTCGCTTGGGGTGGATTGATCATTTAGATAACACATAGATCTTTGATTGGAAAACAAGTAAAGTGATTTTATCTCTGTAACTTTGATCTTGATTAGGAATCAACCGAGAGATCACATTCAACTCGGAACGATCATTTGGAGAGATAGGGAAATCATCGGTGAGCTCTCGCGTCTTGCTGAGTCTAGTAATATGATGATCAGTCCTTTGTCTGCAGCAGGGCTTATCTCTCACGCTGAGCTGACGCCGAGGGGTTCTTTAGTGCCTGTCACAGTCACCAACGTAAGTCTCTGTGCTTTTTTGGAATTTATCAGTTTAGGTTTTGCAACAACGTTTCTTGATCACCTTTCTTAAAAACAGGGTGTTCATCGTATTGAGGCTATCTTTGGTACAGTCTATCCACGACACCTAAATGTAGAGAGTAATGTACTAGTTACACTTTCTGGTATTATCGGTGGATGCATCCGTCTTGTGTCTCATGGAAATGTTGAGGTAAATTACATTTTGAAACTTTCTGCTTCAAGAGGTATTCACCGTTCTTAGATATATGTTTTGTTTCCTTTTACCAATTAGAGTGTATCTGCAGGTGAAATTTCAAATGCGAAGAGTACTAGCTGCACCAGCTTTACGAGTTGTTCCAATATCAGCTCCAAGGTATTGTATACAATTCTAGTTACTCTTCTGCCTTTCTTGGATTTTTTTATGTTATGGAATTAAAGAGGTTTTTTCCCCTTCTTCAGGGAAGACAGAATCATTACATTCACCACTAGTAGAGTATGTTAGCTTTTCCTTTCAATTCTTCCAAATCTTATAAGAAACTGTTCTTTTTAAAGTTGTGACGTTTTGATCTTTGGTGCTAGGACATCATTGGGTCGTTAGCATCGTTTTCTCACACAAATGGTCAAACCATCTACCTCAGAAATGGAAGAGGGGCAATTTCAGATGGCACTGTCTACTCTTATACACGCCAAGAGCTACTGCCAAACTTGGTATGTTGTGTTTACTTTAGACAAAAGAAATAGAAAGAGATTCATTCAACAGGTTATAATTGACTGATATATGAATTGCAGGGCCGTGCTGATATATTACTACTAGTTGGTGAATTCTACCCAAATGGGACTGGAAAGGTGAATGTTACACTATCTGGTGTTGCTGGAGGAACTGCAAGAGCTTTTAGGCTTATCACTTATGGACGTGTGGTGGTAAGTCTCTTTCTAAACTTTCTTTGGAAGTTTTGGGTTAGCTTCTGCAATAAAACATCAACCTTACTTGTTGCAGTTGGATTTGTCTTTCATCCGGAACCAATAGCTTAACCAGACGGAAGCAAACCTCTATAACAGAGTACTTCGAGATGGCTGAAACGATTTTTTTAGAAGTTACGATTTGTGATATACACTCAAGGAACGTAGAGGTACTTACTAGTTAAGGTTTTGTGTGCTTGCAAAGCATTTCCGTGTAGCTCAAGCTATTCGGAACCAATAGGTTTTCTTTTCATGAGTTTAGACTATTATATGTGACACCATCACCTCGATTTACATAAGTTTACGATTTTTTTTAAAGCAATTTTTATTCTAGATTAGTCTAGGTGAGTGATTAATTAAACCATATACTTCAGTAACTTAATTATGGCGTTTAAATATTACCAAGAGCTAGGCATATATCTACATGCGTCGAATCAACTGAGTTAAGATGCATTAATATGGGTTGATTACGATTCCATTGAGAGAGATACCTTAGAGTTTTTAAGAAAAACCCTATCAGATTGGGTTTTCTTTGAAAACTCTCCTACCTTATCAGTTTATTGTTTTTAATATAAAATTTATTTTAATAGAAAAGATATATATATTTATTTTTAATCACAAACGAACAACAACAAAATAAAATATATATCTTAAATCGAAAATCTAATAGTATTTATACGCCAATGAACCTTGTGTTTTCTAGTTTCTCCATAACTCGGAAACCCTAATTTATTGATCACGTACGGTACGAGAAGGGAAATATATCCAATGGAAGCACAAACCAACACCGCAGGTCTTCCAGAGGTAATGCTGACGGAGATCCTAGCGAAGTTACCTATGAGAAGCATCTCCAGATTCAAATCAGTATGCAAAACATGGAAAAAAACACTTGAATCTGTCTACTTCCGTCGTCACTTTATGTCCCTACACCAACACTCATCATCTTCTTGTTCTTGGTCTCTAATACGTGGAGAGTTCATGGGAAAAGAACTCATGGGTTGCTACGGACAATGGGATCTTCCAAAGTCTCCAGCTTCTTATATCCCACCGCCTTCTAAATACTTCAGTTCATCTTTTTCCAACGGGCTGGTTTTGATGGAAGGACGTGATTATTTTTTCTTTGTGGGCAATCCAGTGTTACGACAGTGGGCTAAAATCCCTTACCCTCTATGTGATACTTCTAGCTTTGGTTTGGTGTCGCGCGTGGACTTGGACGGCGTTGTTGTGAGCTTCAAGATCGTGAGGAGAGGGGTTGGATCTTCAAATACTGATCTCTTTGTTCGCATATACTCCTCTGAGACAGGTGTTTGGACTTCCAAGCAACTTCACTTTCCTTGTGATGATCACATCCCTTACTCGTCTCCTATAAGCCTGAATGAGACTATTTATTTCCTAGCCCAAACAGATTTTCACATTCGTCAGCCTGGAGTACTTATAGCTCATGATTTCTATTCTGAATCCGATCAATGTCAGGTTATACCTCTCCCGGACCATTCCAATAATCCCAACTATAAAAGAGCTTTGACAACATGTGGAGGATTTGTTATGTATGTCAAAACGTTAGCTGAAAATGTATATGATAGTTTGAAGGTTTGGAGGTTGAGGAAGGATTCAGCTGCTTGGGAGCTTTTGTGGGATCTCGACCTCCCATTAGCCTGGGCTGATGATATCGCTTATAATGCACCCGTGGCAATGCATCCATTTGATAGTGATGTTGTCTATATATGGCGTCAAAAGAGTCGTGATATGGTATCATATAACTTGCGCACACAAAACTATACAACCATGAGAGATGCATCAAAATGGTATAATGATAACAATCAAAACAGTTTCATGAACCGCTTTGTTTGTCAGAAATATATGGACGAGATATACGGACCAAACTCACTTTGGGGCTCTGGTAGTGTCGTCGCCTTGTTCCAGTTTGTGCAGTCACGGTGGATGGAACCGGTACCTTGTCCTCCACAAGTTGAGATGATAAACACAGCTTCATTACTTTCTTACATTTCTTCTATAAAGAAGAGAAAGAGGGATATAGGCAGGGGATTCAGATACTGAAGGGTGTTAATGAGTGATTTTGCAAGGATCAAGATTCAAACACACAGTTATTTAATGTCGTGATTTAAGATTTATTTTATAAACTGATCAAATCACTAGATTTATTTCACCTAATAGGATCTATCAAGTTTTATTGCGTCGATCAAAAGGTAGACAAATCCACTATACATAGAAATCAATGTCTATAAGCTATGATATCAATCTATTATCTATACTAATTCTCTTAAAAATATAGCTTATTGTGCATATAAATAAAGCTTAATGTACGTGACTCATATATACATACCATTATACCAATAAAATTGGCCTTTGACTCGTTTCAAAAAAAAAAAAAAAACTCTTGACAGCAAATATCTCTCTGTTCGCAGTTACTCTGTCTCATACGATTTGGCAGTTATTATTTAAATTAAAAAGTTAACAATTTGAAGTTAAAAAAAAATAAAAACATTTGTTCAAACTAATTATGTTCTTCCAAATTCTGATACCAAAGAAAAAGTTTAAAAAATGCGCAGAGACTTTGGTTGCATATTAAGTTATATAGCTAAAAGAGTATAAGACAGAGATGGTTTCCACGGCAGAAGCAGATCCTGAAGAAGGAAGAGACGGTCGTTACAACGGCGGCGGCGAGAGGATGCCGACAATGAGGCCTGACGTGCGATGGACGTCGTGGGTGATTCCGATGGTGGTGATTGGGAATGTCGTCGTTTTCGTTGTGGTGATGTACTTCAATGATTGTCCTCGCAATAGCCATCGATGTCTAGCTAAGTTCCTAGGAAGATTCTCATTTGAGTCTTTTAAGTCTAATCCTCTTCTCGGTCCTTCTTCTTCTACGTGAGTTATTCGTTCTCGCTCACAACATTGTAGCAATGTGATTCGGTTTTAAAGTTTAAGTTTTTATGATCTGGGTTTGTGAATTTAGGATTGTTAAGTTTTAGATTTTAGTCAAAGCCCCAATTTTTGCCAAAAAAAAGGATTGTATTTTCAGATTGAATCTTGTTTTTTGACTAAAGGTTTTACCTTTTTGATATCCAATGGCTTGGGGTTTGAAGCTGCATTTGAGCTGATGAGCTTTGTTATGTACAATTCTGAGACAACGTTCATGGCATTTGATTTTGAATTGATCTGTGAATTGGCAGGTTGGAGATAATGGGAGCTTTGGCATGGGGCAAAATAGTTCACAGGCGTCAGGTTTGGAGACTCTTAACATGTATGTGGTTGCACGCTGGTGTTATCCATTTGTTAGCAAATATGTGTTGTGTTGCCTTCATTGGAATTCGTCTTGAGCAGCAGTTTGGTTTTGTTCGAGTCGGGACGATATACCTTGTATCTGGCTTCTGCGGGAGCATATTATCTTGTCTGTTTGTTCAGAATGCCATATCTGTTGGTGCCTCAAGTGCTTTGTTTGGCCTCTTAGGAGCAATGTTATCAGAATTGTTAATCAATTGGACTACCTATGACAACAAGGTATTCTGAATGATCTAATTTTAGTAACTTTTGATTCACAATTGTTTGGTTGGTTAATTCAGCTTGGTTTTCACTTCTTTTGTAGGGTGTGGCTTTGATAATGCTTCTGGTGATTGTTGGTGTTAACTTAGGATTAGGAACACTTCCTCCTGTGGATAATTTTGCTCACATTGGAGGTTTCTTAGGCGGTTTTCTTCTCGGCTTTCTCCTCTTGATTCATCCACAGTTTGAATGGGAGGAAAACAGAGTTTCTCTTATGCCTGGTTCCATTGTTAAACCGAAGTACAACACTTGCCAACTCGTGCTTTGCGTAATTGCATCCATCGTCTTTGTCGCGGGGTAAGATTCAGAACATTTTTAATCCTTCATGATACCAACTACCATATCTTCTCATACTGGTTAAGCTTCAGAACATTTGTTTGGTCTACAAAGATTTGGCGTTTGATTGGGTTACTAAACTGGACTTTGGTTTGGATGGATGTTATATCAATATGCAGGTTTGCTTCTGGTTTGGTGATACTATTCAGAGGAGATAACTTGAACAGATATTGTAAGTGGTGCCATAAACTGAGCTACTCCTCTAAATCCCAATGGACATGACATTTGCTTTTCATTTTCTTAGAGTTAGATTATTATTTCTTTGGTAACCAATTCTGTTTATTGCAGCTCTTGTTTCTCTTCATATTCACAAACTTTTTGAAAACAAACAAATTGCTACAGTTTAGGCAAATGATAGTGCTTTATAGAGATGTCAACATTTTGATTAAACAAGTCCTATTTGCAATTTAGATTCAATCCACTTAACTTCAAACTACAAACCAAGCAAATTAGCAGCAAAAGCTTAATCCACTGATCTACAACAAAGCCAGGTTAACTGGTTCAACAACATTTCTCAGTACCTATACCCAATTGGCATCCCGAGACGGTCCAACCGACCTGAACCAGGATAAGCTTTGTTCATAAAACTAGTGTGCAGTGCAGAACCTTTCTGGGGACCTGACTTTGTATCACCACAGTATGGCAAATCGACAAATCCAAACCGTTTTGACGAAGAACGCTCGTAATATAGCTGCGGTCTGGACTTCGGGGCACTTGCGGACCTGGCCTTAGCCCTAGAGGACTCTGTACAAGCCATGTAGCTTGGATGGTCTCCGTAACAGCAGCTTTTTGTGCAATCGCTCGGTGCTATAGAACTTGCTGTGAAAGCACTACGTTTGCTTCTAGACATCGCTGAGTATAACTGAGGACTATTCTCTGCAGTGCAAAACTGGCTTGTGACCTCTTCATGCGACGAGGACGGGCTAAAAGGCGTGACATAAACTGGTTCAGACCGGCCTGCATTGTCTAGGACAAGGTGGGATGAGTAAAACATGTCTGGTCTGATGCGTCTTGTGTAAGAACTGATGTGTTTCCTGTCGATCTGAAGGATCTTTTCTTCTTCATCCGTGGCTGAGAACGTTTCTCTGTAAGCAGGGTAAAGTCTGTTGTTGTCGCTAGCCTTAGAACCAATCCTCTGAAATTTTTTAATATTAGCTCTTAGTTTAGTTAGCAATGAAACGAGGATAATCAAAAAGAAAATCAAAAATTTAATACCTTTAAAAGATGAGAATGAGAAAGCTTGGAGCTGCGGGAAGAGATTGAATGCTCGAGTTTTTCCGGCGTTGGTGGACCCTTGAGGATAAATAAAGTTGTTACAAAAGGAACCTTACTTACTAAAAGACGTTTTAGGTTTAAGAAAGAAACAATGTCAAAAGGATTTAACCAGGCTTACGGGGTTTTGGAAGTGAGAAGATTTGGTATTGTTGGATTGGGAAGAAGAAGATTCAGGAGTAACAATAAGACGAGAGGCACGGACACGAGACTGAGCCCGAACCAAAGCGTGCATCCTGCGCAGATGGACTGACATTCTCTTCCGTTCGATATGGCCTCTAACTATCGCTTGAAGCCTGACTAAACCCTTGAGTGCCCTTAACGCTCTCCTTGCCTACAATTATATAAAAAAATTGGTTTAAATTGGGAGATAAAAGCCAATAACCACCAGAGCATAGTCTAAGTATCAATTCTTGAAATAACTTTTGAGTCTTGAGCTCAAAGCTCTCATTATGGACAGGACCACAAAACCATATTGAATTTTTCAAAATCATACCTTTTTCATAAAAGTTGGCGGCAAAGTGAAGTGGAAGAAAAAAAAAAAAAACAAGTTGACATTTTCAAAAAGAAATTGAACATTTGAAATTCAACAAAATTAAATAAGAGGGATAAGAATAAATATCATGAATAAACAAACCCATTTATAATGTATGGTCACTCTCTAAGAGAAGAAAAATGAATGAATCGTCTATTAATGAACAATACGACTTTTTATGCCGACGAGTACACATTTCGGGTGTGAATTGTCTTACACACTACTATACACTACTAAAGATTCGCCATAAACTATAAAGTATAAAGTTCAAAAATAGGCATTCATAGATTAGAAACATTAATAGGCATGTATATATTAACTACATAGAGAGGCTATAATGATAAAGGGAATGAACTGAAATATATATACTAGTTATAGCAGCCAGCATTCACCATGTTATACATCACACAGTGGTCCAGTGCAAGACATATTCACTAACCAATAGAAAAAAGAAACTCCTAATAATTCGTATCGGCTGATGTTTAGTTGAGGGAACTTAAGCAAAGTTGTACAAAGCTACTTAACCGGTTAATATAAAATTAAGAAGAGAAAGCAAATACTACAATTTATTATTTTTTGGTTTTTATACAAAGAATATTCAAGTGCTCTATTATAAAATAAATATTTTGTAAAAGTGAGAATATAGAAGGTTAATTGTCTAATCACTTGTCTAGGGAAGTGGAAGCAGCAGAAGGTTAACGACATCGGAAAATGTTATCTGGACGATAATCCCCGTGTAATTTTTAACAAATCTATAACCATTTTTTATAACTTTTATAGAATTACTAATTAATTAATAAAGCCTTCAGGCAAGAAACAATTTAACTTTGTAGTAGAGAAAAAAAAATGATAAGATTTAGCTTCGTATAATCTTTTGAAAATGAGTCAAATAACTATTAGCAATTTAGCATAGCATTTAAAGAAATGAAAAGAAAATTACCAGATATCCTCGAAACGTTGATTGTATCTTAATCGCCGCAAGATCTTCACGACCGTCTCGGCCGTAACCGTCGAACTTGCTAGCATGCGCTGCCGCCACGTCGTTGAATCCGTCGCTAAAACGCGCCTTGACAGGACTTCTCGTCGACCTTCCGCTCGTGCTCGTGAGCCTAACGACCGCAGCAGCGGCATTAGCGGCGGCGACGGCAGCCTCAGCAACAGCAGCAGTAGCGGCCGCCACTGCAATCGCGTGCTTATCCGATTCTTCGCCTCCCTCGTCTTCCCATATAAGCTTCTGTTTCCTCCGTCGTCTCGGAGACGGAGACGATTGGTGGTGAGACGGCGGTGGAGGCGTCGAGTTTGGTAGCGAAGGAGGATGAGGAGAAACGTGAACGGGCGGTGCGGTTTCTTTTTCGCGTTTGGATTTGACGAAGCTCCATCGGCGTTTTGGATTAGAACGAGAAGGTGTTTCAAAGGATGGATCCGAATAATAGCCCGGGTCGGGTTTCTTAAGACCGAATAGATTCTTAAACCACCGTGAAGCTTTTCCCATTATTACTCGACGAATGAAACGGCAACGTTTCTTCTCGCCGGAGTTTTTGCAGAGCGAGCAAGCAAGAAAGAGAGAGAGCGAGAGAGAGACACAACAAAAGAGAGCTTTGTTGTAAAAGAGTTTAAGTAGTCGTAGCAGTATCGAACAGTGTTCTTGTTAGTATGTATGAACACTTCTCCTCACTCGCGCGTGTGCGTCAGTCACACTCTTATCTCTTTTCCCGGGAAATTTCGTTAATCTCCATAATTTTTTACTATTTGTTGTTTATTATTTCGTAGTGTAATTTTCAATGCAGTAAGCCATTAACCATCACTCGTGTTATATACATGGAATCAATAAAATTACATCTTAAAGTGAAACACATTATGAGACTGATATTAATCCACTAATTGGAATAGTATTTAGAAAAAGGAAGAATTCAGAAGTCAATAAAACACTTGTAACTTTTGGGGACATTATGATTTTTTTAAAACGCACTTCTTTAAAAAGTAGAAGTAATCAAAAAACTATAATTAAGTAATGAAAGGAAAAATAAAAAAATGAAGATGATTTATGTAAATAACTTTTATGATTAACCAAATTATATGCACGATTATCTTTGGTAAGTTTCTTCATTGTCCGTAAATCTAATATTCATATAAAGTCTTTTGTAAATCATTTTTTGTACGTTTCTTTTCTATTGTTGGGGCCATCTTAGAACACTTTGTAGTTTTGTGAAATTTGAGACAAATATTCAAATAAGTAAACTGTCTATCAACTTTAGGAAGACTTATTTGGACCTTTATTAAGGTAATCAGTTATCACATGTATAGTTTTTTTTTAATTGTAGATTTGGTTTTCTCTGATTTGTTGTCGTAAGCACCGCACCGGATCCAAATCTTAAACAAATTGTAAAAATTTATTATATGGTCATGTGAATGTAGGGGAAATAATATACATAGGAGGAGTCGTCCTAAAGAACAGAGAGATGACAAAAAGCGTCAATACTTTTAACTTTTAAGAGGACCACAGCTACGGTGACCCCATTGCGGATGACGTCACTCTTATGGGGTCCTTTGGCCGTAATCCAATGGCTATCGTTTTTAATAATAATCTTCTCCGTTACTATTATTTCTACCTCTCTCGCTCTCATCATCCTCCATTTCCATGATCACGTTTTCGAGGTCCCTACTCCGTTCTGTCGTCTCGTGACGGAGTAGCGCCGTCCGTTGTTACGTCGTTTTGCTCCATGGGTAATCGAATTTGGTATACAATTCTTATTTCTTAGATTTTGTGTTTTTCTTTTGTTAGTTTCCTTCTCTTGTCTTCCAAAATATTATTGCATTTGGACTGTATAGCGAATATTGTGTGAATAGTTGTTTTCGTTTCGATCCCATCGATAATATACTTGTACGAATGATAACTACGTAGATGAAATTAACCCTTTTACAAAAAAAACAAAAAAAAAACAAACCCTTTCACGAAGGCACATAACATCTATACAGATTTCGTGACAAATAAATACAAGATAATTAGGAACTTGCTTACGAACTTAGGATACTAAGTTGAGCTGTAAATACTTGGTATATGTTTCAAATGTGTATAACTATAGCTAAACGAACAACAAACACTGCTAAGTGCTAACAAAGATATATATGTCTCACGTATATATAACGAATCCGATGGTTCACGTGTACGACTTTAAGAGAATCTAACTCGTAGTCGTAAAAAAGTGAAACAAAAATTGGACCGACAGTTAATCCACTGGAATCTTCGGTATGTCTCATGCAACGAGAAAAAGACAGGACAAAGACTCAGAGAGACATCAGACGAAACCAGCCGTCGCGATGTAGCCATGTGTCGTGCAAGTACAAAATGTGGAGTCCATATGAAAATCTTAGTAGACTACAGTGGACGGTGGCTCTTCAGCTTTTTTTAGGGATTGTGTTGACTTATGGTCAACGATTTATCGTGTATGAACTCGTTACGTTCGTACGTGTCTCTAAATTTTAATTCTAGTCAAAATAATCAGCCGGAATTTGTTGTTTCCTCCGAAATAACATTTTTTTTTGTTGGCAAGTATCTGATAGTTATATTGTAAATTATGCAAGTTGATCAATCATAGAGTTGAATGGAGCAAGAGATCTAGATGGGAACTACTCAGCTGAGATTATGGTTTTGTTAACAAGGTTAGGTGCACCAAATAACAAATCTTATGACTAACAAGAAACATCCAAGCTTAGATTTCCCTTTTCAAAATGAGAAACTCATTTATAAGATTTATTGTCAATACTTGCGAACATTTTTATTTGGTTTATTCTTCTTTATGTTCGTTTGGTTTTGCCCTTGGAATTGGAATTTTTTAGTCACAGAATCGGATTTATAAAAAGTAACTATACATCTAGACTGAAACTGAACCAGAATCAGTAAGCCTAATAAAAAAACAGGAACCCTAAACTGACCGATGAAAAAAACATTGCAAGCAAGTACTGAGTTTAGTCATGTTTTCTCTTTAAGTCAACACTGACATTATTTCTTATCATGAGCATCAAATCATTCGTAATCAATATCTTAAAAGAAAGAAAAAAAAAAGGTGAAAGATTCCAAAACTTTATTATAATCTGATTCTGTTTTCTCGTATTCAATAATCTTTTTTAATTTACGACCAACCAATACATATACATATATAAACACATTTTAATGATGTTCGGAAGAAAATATCGTCTAAATAACTTTTCCGATTTTGTTATAGCGACTTGTACAATGACACTTGTGATTACATATATATGCTATCACTGTTTCACGATCCCCTAAAAGATACCGCTTGAGTAATCGACACGGTCACATAGTATAAAAAGTTAAAGATGTCTCTATTGCGAAATGTTACAAAATCGAAATACATACAAGGCAGGCAAACAACAAAAGAGTCTTTAAAGTTTTTTTTGTCTAAGATGGTCACAAGCATGTGTTTTGCGAACTAAATATTACTATGTAGAACGATGTGATCTGTTCTGAGCTAACCAGACAAGCAGACAATTATCTTCAACCCCCAAAAAAATAATTTCTTCCTTTCAATACCTCTTCTTTTCAACGCACATGCATGCACATACTCGGTACAATAGACCCATCTATACAATCTAATCTTTTAAATTATTAACAATACAATTACGTAGAGCGTATATGTAATATGTAACTGCGTCTATTTCAAGATGCTGCGTTGAGGAACTAAATTAATTTAAAAGAATAAAATGTTTCTATTTAGGCTTCTGACTCTTTTGTATTAGGTGCTGAGAAGCTACAGACGACGCAGTGATGGGAAGCAATGAGAGAATAAAAAAAGCAAAGCTACGAATTGTCACTCCTCTCAGTCGTCCTCTTTACCCTCTTCCATTTTCTGCTCTCTTCTCTACCCCATAAAAAGAAAACCCAACTACACTACAAATCACTACAAGACACCAATCTCACAGTTTTTCTCGTAATTCTCTTTTTCAACCCTTTTGTTTTCTAATTTACACCTGGGTCCTCCTCTCTCTGCACTTATACGACTACAGTATTTTTAAGCTCATAAACCGAACCCATGTTCTCAAACCGAAAGTAAACCAAGAATTGAACCAAACTTTTACCACTAATCGGAAAGCTCTGTTTCTGGAGTCTGTACGTAGACAGACATATTCCAAAACAGAACAGAACACACTAAACTAACTCTAGTTAACTAATTAGTAAATGTTCATGGTAATTTTAAGTGAAACAACCCAGGATTCTGCCGTACTTTGATTCAGCTATTTTTGCTTCCTTTCTTTCTTTTTCATTAAAGAAAATATATAGTAGTTTTGGTATAATACAATGAAACATTTGTATAGTAATAGATCAGGACGAGGCTTTCTTTTTAGACTTCACGTCCTTGCTTTGTAAACTATCCTTTTAACCATGTTACCTCTCAATCGTCGTCCTCTTGCGTATTAGACCCAGGTTTGCGGAAGAAGCTCATCATCTGACTTATTAATTCCTCAAACGAAGGTCGTTTTGCTGGATCTCTGTTCCAAGCATAGAGAATAAAGATTATAAACAACTACCCTCCAAAGTTTTGAGGGTGTAAATGATGAAACAATTTATTTTTACATATTGTCTTACGTTTGCCAACAATCCTGTATTATGGATGCGATCCGGGGATTTAATCCTTCAGGTAAGTCTAATCGTCGATCCATGAACCCAACCACTCCAACAACCTAATTAAAAGTCGATAGCATTACAATAGTTAACTCTTGAGATTACTACAATATAATGGTTTAGCTATACTCTCCTAAGGACATATAATTCCAGAGGTACCTGAATAGAGTTTAGACGGTCCCATGGTATTAAAGTAGTCATTAGCTCCCATAAGATGACTCCAAAGCTGAACACATCACACCTGTTACAGCAAAAGTACTGAGTTTTTAGTCCAAAATCATGTTCCAGGTTATTAAATAATGTTGCCAAAAAGATAACAAACTTAGGTTAATATTATATCCAACGTACTTCTCATTTGAAGGTTCACTTCTGAGAACTTCAGGGGCCATCCATTGCGGCTGCACATAGAAAACAATGAAATATGTTTAGTAACAGAAATACAAGAATGTTTTGTGGATTGTAAAAATCAGAGATGGCATTTGTGAAACATTACAGTTCCTTTCCCGGATTTAGTACTTAAGAAGGTTGCATTCTTCCACTTTGACAACCCAAAGTCTCCAACCTAGGGAAAGAAGGAGTTGTAAGTACATGCTGTCATAAACTCATTTTACAAGTCTTCATGAATGCAACTTGAGGAAACTGAAGCTTTAATACCTTGACATTCCAGTTTCTGTCCACAAGTAGATTTGAAGATTTCAAGTCTCTATGTACTATTGGTGGATTTCTGCGATGTAAGTAATTCATTCCCCTAGCCTGCAACAACAACAGAGAATTCGAACTCGCTCAACCTTTCATATGTTTTTCTTTCATTGTGAAGGAGTACTTTGGAAGATCAGAGTCTTACAACATCAAGGGCCATTCTTAGACGACGTTTCTTGTCCAATGGCTGATTCGTATTATGAAGTATTTTGAAGAGACTCCCTCTAATCAACAAAACCGGAAATAAATAAATGAACACAGGATATTTATACGAGCAACACTACTTCCAGATCCAGAGGTCAATAATCTCACCTTGGCATATACTCCATGATTATGGCAGATTTTTCTTCTGTGCAAACCGCTCCCATAAATAAGAGCACATTTGGATGTCTTAGTTTCTTCATAATGTTGATCTGAAAATATTGATCCCAACTGATTGAAATTGTCTGGCACAGATGATCTCTCTAAATACTTGCACAGCAGAGAGAAGCAAATATACGTACCTCCTTTTCGCACTCCGTCAAAGTCATCGCATTGTAATCACCCTCAAAGTAAACCTTAATAGCAACATCCTGGTCCAGATAGATTGGAATAGTTGATTAGCCATGTGCACTGATACATGTACATCTTTAAATTATATTACAGAAAACTTACTGATCCATTCCAAACTCCACGATGTACCGCAGCAAATGAACCTGTGAGCAAATGTAACACATCAGAGATACTTGTAATCTGATTTAAGCACACAAGAAAAAGTTCTGGTAAACGAAATGCACCTCGCCCGACCTCCTCCCCAAGTTGTAGATCTTCCCATCGTATCTCACATGACGTATCAGTAACATATCTATTGTTCCCTTGGTTGGCAGGACTTTGTTGCTTACCGATGCTGACTCCAAGAATTGGCAAGGGATCGTCACTAGGACGAGTATTCCAAGCATCTTCTATCTCACCATTTAGGTCCGACATTTTTGTTCCCCGCATGCCAGACATCAGACCACTCTCTAGTCCTCTGGGAGGTTTCCTTTGTCCCAAATTCCCAATATACTGAAAGCGGTCTCCATTATGTCTCACATCACTCAAACCCTCATCTCCATTCCCATAGACATCTGAAAATCTAATTTCAGCCCTTTTTGGTTTTCCATTGCCATTGTCTCTGAATGCGTTCCAGGTAACTGCATTAGAAGCCTTGGAACTAGCTCCACCGCCAGAGGCTGACTTATGTATACCGTTTCCTAAAATACGCTCATTATCTTCATTTCCTTGGCTGCCAGTAATCTTCCTTTGCAGCTTCCCCAAAAACTTATCCGCCTACACTAGTATATACGTAGATTCAGCTTGAGACAATTATTGTACTAAAATTTTCAACGAGAAGTGTTTTATTTAAGTAGACAGCAAAGACTTACCATTGAGCCATACTTCTCGAAAGTTGTGGAGGCAACAACCGGAACATTTTCATCTCGGCTCCTAGAATTCTGATTTGCATTAAAGGAATCATCTCCATTTCTCTGTGGTCGAAGCTTCGATGCCTTCTTGGTTTGTGCACAAAACAGCGACACAAACAATCATTCATCTTGCAGAGGAATTTTTTTTTTTCAAAAAGGGACAAATAACTTTGAACACTCAGGATGTGAGATTTACCAGGTTCGAAACAGTTGATGAATACTGTGGGACAACTGGAACCTGTGGCGCTGCAGCAATCTGAGCCCTCGGAAGGTGCCATTGGTGCTTTCTCGAATTTGATTGCTGTCTATTACTATGTGCTTGTTGCTGATGCTCGCTACTTAGTGGATGCATCCTATTGAAGAGCGTTGCATCACTTGAGACAGTAACAACACCAACGAGCTCACCGTTTTCATACACAGGACTTTTAGTCACCAACGCCATGAAGAGTTCACCTGTTTTCTTCTGAAACGGAAACTGACCAGTCCAAGTCTCTCCACGGCAGACCCTATTCCTGATACCCGTAAGGCAATTGCGGTATTCTTCGGTTACAAGCACATCAATTGTTCTGTAGCCAACAACTTCCTCAGCATACCAGTGGTAAAGGTTCTCAGCAGAACGACTCCTGAATAACAAAAAATAATCTCTTCACTCAGAAACATATAGTATATTACCACTTGCATAAACAAAGAATCACCAATAATGTACAAAATCTTCATTCCAAAGTAGATTAATAAACTCAAGATTAAGCTAAATGAACTAAATCCATCAGATAAACCACATCACAGAACACAAATCAATGGAACAGTGCATATAACTATAAGCTCGCTACAAAGACCATAGATGATGAAGAAGAAGTTATCAGGCTCACCAGAATGTAATTTCTCCAGAAGCTGCAGATGTCACATGAATCGCGTGTCCCATTGAATCCATCAAAGTCCGGTACGCACTATCAGCGAAATAGAATCCGGAAACTGCTCTCTCCCAAGTCGCCGTCGGATTATCCCAGGAATCCGCTCCGGCCTCTGCCTCCGCCTCCGCCTCAACCTCCGCTTCCGCTTCCAATTCCGCCGCCGGCTCCTTACCGATTCGACTCTCCTCCTGAAGCATCAAATCATCCACATCCTCTCTTAGTCTCGCTTGGCTCGTCTCCATCCTCTGACACCACTCCACCAAAACGTGGTAGAGACTCGATTCCGTGTTGTTACCGGCCATCGTGCTCGCCGGAGAAATTGTTTGAGCAGTCGCATCAAGATCCGACTCTGGTAAAATTCACGAATTAAAATATAATTTAAAATAGACGAAGAAAATGTTGTGTTCCCATTGTTTATTAATTTTTTCAGCTGCTTATGTAATTACTAGTGACGTTATAATTAACAAAACCCAGCTAATATATACACTACGACGCATTGAGATTATGCCACGTGTTCTTAGACTAATAGGTTGACGCCACGTGTTGAACTGCAGATGTAATAGACGATTTTGTCAGGATTTAAAAGTTGTGATTGACGAAATTGACCTTGTTGCCGCCATTATCTACAAACAAACTGTTGGCCCAAGGACTTGATGTGGTAATTTAATTTCATTGTCGATAAATTAATAATTTGTTGACTTAAAATATATAACATATATATATATATAACGAAAGAAAATATATATGAAACTTTTTGGCCCACGAATTTTAGTAATCCTTTGTTTTCTTATTGGGCCTATAGCCTTTTATATTTTAGAGCTTATTTTCTATGCATGAATTACTGCAAGTAATAAATATACATAAATAGTGTGAGAACATTTACGTAAATATCGTTTAAAATATTACACATTGAACGGAAACATATTATAATAACAAAAACAATCTTAAAAAAAAAAACCAGTTACAACCGAATAAATTTTGTTTGTTTATTTTATTAGAGAGATTGGGATACCTCAAATATGTAAATATCTATAACTAGGAAAATATCCTGAACCGTACCGCGAAAATTTACAAAAGAATATACAAAAAAGTTCAATAAAATCAAAACCCAAAGAAAAAAAAAAGGTAAAAAAAGAAAAAAAGAAAAGGAAAGACCCTAAAAAGGGATTTCTTTAATAAACAGAGTCGCCGATCCAATGCTCTTCTTCTTCCACACTTCAATTTTGCGAATAAATTACATATAATTCTTTGCCTCCTCCTTCACTCCAGCTTCAAACACACAAATCTGTGACGAAGCTTCTCTTTAATGGCGACACCCACTCAGGTTGCTATTGACACCTTCGTGAGCATCACCGGCGCTTCCAATGCCGTCGCCGTTCGGAAGCTCGAGGTGATTTGATTACACTCCTTCTATTTCTTTTCTTCCTTATATTGTTTTAGATGTTTTTCTTTTTGGGTAACTTAAGAATTTGATCATCAAATTCCTTTACTTCTTAATGTATTGTTCTCTTATATTGTTTTAGATTTCATCTTGATGCTCCCAGGTTGAAATTTGAAGTTGATTTTGTTGATACTTAGGTTATTCGATGATCGGATTGAGTTTTTTTAGGAGTGTTCCTTGAGAATTTCTCACGCTTATCGATTTTGGTGCTTGTTTATTGATATCTAAACGAGTTTATTACCTAGGCATTGTAAAATAATGTGGTCTAAGTTGGGAAAGTTTTGTTCTCTTGGTGTGTTGAATAAGCTGAGTTTGGTTTAAGTAAGTTGTTGAAAGTTTCAAACTCAGCTTGTGTACAATTTAGTTTGTGTTTAGATCTTGTTATTTGGGTCCTTTATGCATTCTCATCTTTGAGTCATCAATCTATAGTCTAAGCATCCGTATAACTTGTAGATTCTTGTATGGTGTAGCTAATCCCTAGTGTTTGCCTGAACGTACATGCTTTCATTGTTGCAGGAATACCGTGGGAATCTCAATCGAGCTGTGAATGCATACTATAATCATGGAGATCAGAATTCGTATGCCCTCCCACTCTTATTTTTTGCGACTTATTATATACCTTGCATGTTTTTAACATGCTGGTGTCACATTCTTAATCATCTTTGTGCAGACTACATGAAACTCCAGCTAATTTTCCTCGGGATGATGCAATGGATATTGATGATGATGTGACTCCAGCCCATCCAAACTTTGAAAGAAGTCCATTTCCAACTGTTAGTCACCCAAGGGAAGTCAGGCAGATACCTATAGAGGTTAAGGACAGCAGTGGGCCATCAGGTCGTTCTAATGATGCTCCTTCTATTGAGAATGTGACCGATTCATCTCAAGCTCGTGTTCCAGCTGCCCAAGAGGCAGTTATTTTAGATGAAGAAATTCATGATGGTAATCAGTCTGCTCCAACCGGACAAAGTAGGCATGCTATACCTGTTGGTTCTGCACACAATAGTTTGCAAAATTACAATGACATAGAAGAAGAAATGATTCGAGCTGCTATTGAGGCCTCAAAAATGGAGACTGGGGTACAGTTTGTTTAGATAATGGAATTCAAATACTTAAACTTAAGAATTAGGCACAGCCTGCTTGTTTTCTGTTTTATTCAGTGGTTTCTGTTCTTATATAGGTACCAAGGAATCAGTCCCCTGAAAAGTATCAGTCTCGCTCGGAAGATGCTGATGACGTGACAAAAGATATCACTGTGCGGTCAGAGGAAGAAAGAGAAGCTTCTGAAGAGTTTTCTATTCCAGTACAGCAGGGTACCCAAGCCTCAAATGGAAGGTTAGTTTGTTCTGTTTTGTAACACCTTTTGTAGTCGATCAGTTTGTCTTTTGTGTTTCCTAGACAATGTCCCAAGAAGTTGTTTTTATATGTGTAGACTCGCAGCAACTAGCTCAATGTCTGAGGATGATGATGATGATGATGATGATGATGATGATGATGATGACGATGATGATGATGATGATGAAGAGTACGATGATGACGAGGACGACGATGACCCTGATTATGTTGACGAGGAGGAACCCCTTGCTAGGCACCAACCAAGACGTGCGGCTTCTGGATCTCGGGTCCCACTTAATGATGATCTTCCCGGGAGCCCTGAAGCAGAAGATGAAACTATTAATTCACCAGATGCTGGCAATGGTTTCCCTTCTGAGGTAGCAAAGCATATACGTTTGTTTCTTATATGAACAATCAGATTACCTTTACTTTCAAGTAAGAATCCTAGAGTAATTAGTTCCTGAGCTATTTCTCTTATTAAATGTTTGGTTTAAGTGGGGAGGCATTTCGTCTGCGGAACATGATGAAGCTATCATGCTAGAGGCTGCCATGTTTGGTCGCATTCCTGATAGTGAATATCGTGTTCCTTATTATCCTCAAAGGAGACAGCGTCCACCCTCACCATCATTGTCAGCTCAAAGATTGATTCGAGAACAGCAGGTTTGGAACATTTGCTGTTTCTTTCGTCCCCAAGTTGTTTGGGGAATACTTTTATTTGAACTATCGTTGTGACAGGAAGATTAGAAGTAATGGGTAAAAAATATCACCCTTTTGGGTTATTGGAGGAGTGATAAGTTTATTCTTTGTTGAAATATGAACTCATGCAGGACGATGAGTATCTTGCATCTCTGGAAGCTGACCGGATTAAAGCTGAGGCTCGTCGATTGGAGGAAGAAGCTGCTAGAGTAGAAGCTCTTGAAGAAGAAAAGAGAAAGGCGGAAGAAGCTCGCAGGAAGATTGAAGAGGAACAGGTACGCTTTTGGTTTTACACAAGTCTCTCTAATTCCGTTTGTTAACAGGTTATACCAACATCCTGCATCTAGATGGAGAAAAAATACCCAAACCACATAAACCTTTGGAACCAATCCCTTTTTCTTGCTACAAGAAAATGGATGTCTATATTTTCTTTGGAGTCTGAAAAAATAGTTAGGGCTAGCTTCGCTACTAGGTTTAAAGTCTCAAGCTGTATGCGGTATTTTGGATGAGTTTCGTCAAATTCTTGAAAAGTCAATTTTTATGTTTCTTACTAGGAGCTGGAAAGGCAACTAGTTTCAAAGGAAGCGTCTCTGCCTCAGGAGCCACCAGCAGGCGAAGTGAACGCTATTAGTCTTCTAGTCAGACTGCCAGATGGCTCCCGCCATGGTCGTCGATTCCTTAAATCTGACAAACTCCAAGTGAGTATCCCAAAACCAGCTTCATTCATCCTCACATAATATGAAAAAACCTTATAAAACCACTAAGCATGTCTCCTTTCTCATTTGCAGTCACTTTTCGACTTTATGGACATTTGTAGAGTTGTGAAACCCAACACTTACAGGCTGGTAAGTGGTTCGTGCCATAAAAAGCTATATTCAAATTTTTCGTTTGGTTAGTTGATAATGTTTGTATGATCAAAAAACAGGTAAGACCTTATCCTCGGCATGCTTTTGGCCATGGGGAATGCTCATCGACTCTAAACGATGTCGGTTTAACCAGCAAACATGAAGCATTGTTCTTGGAGCTGATCTAGAATGGGGTATTTGATTGGGGTTACATAACTTATTCTTTTAGGTCTCTTTTTATTTTTTCTTTTCTTTCATAGAAGTTGTTACTCTTTAAATATTTATTGTTTTATTTAAATCCGATGGTGGCTTTTATTTAATAGAAAAGGTTTCCTTTTTCGCCGATATATAATATTTGGAATATAAATTGTAGACAAAACAATTGAATGGGGAGAAATAAGAAAAGAAGAAGTGAGGTGATGGAGGATGAAGGACATAAGAAGCTATGGTTAGATAAAAGCAAGTTGGGACAGTTGAGGAAAATTATATATTTGATGTTAGTGGGCAAATTCATAACTAATTCTCCAATCTTCATGTTTCACCTTATGGGCGTTTTTGTTCCTTCCCACTTCCACCATGAGTTTGTTACATTTTTAGTAGTCTATAACGCAGTCGCAGAATATTTTATTCTTACAAGTTATAACCAAGTGGTCGTAAACTTGTAATTCATATTTGAATTCTAAAGTTGTTTTGTCAAAAAAAAAGGGTTCAGTTTTGTTTTGGGTACTCATAGTACATAAGGTTCCAATCCATGGTGTACATAGGGAGAAACGATTATCGGTTCTCGGTTCGGTTTGGGTAAAAACCAAGTGGTATTCAAAAAAACTGAAAACTAATACAGAAGTTCATGGTTCTTGGTTTGGTTCGGATGCAAGTGATCTTGTATGTATATTTTGGGTTTTTTCCGGTTACAAAGTAACTAATCGGAATCGAACCCGTTAGAACCAAAACATTTTCGGGTTTTATTCGGTTCAAGTTTCAAGTATATCAAACCGAATCAAATTTTCGTCGGTTCTTATATGATCACCAAAATTTCATACCCAAAAACCGAAAACCAACTCGAACCGACCCGAAGGACCGAACCCCTAGAGCTAGTAGTGGGAACAAAAACAAGAAAGTGGACTGAAACCATGGATACGAGCAGCCGAGCAGGGTTAATGGGTCAAGTCGGCGTTGTTAGACAGTTAGTGTAAGAAAAGAGAGTAAACGAAGCAGAAGACAAAGAGATCGGGTCTTCCACGGCGTCGGCTGTTCGCAAACGACGACCTTGACGGGAGAGTCGTTAGCTTTTCTCGCCGTCGTCAAAGTAACACAACTCCTTTTAGTTTTACACGCGCGTAAAACCTCACGCGTTTATTGGAGAGGACCACTAATAATAAACATGCATGCTGTTTTTTTTTCTTCATTTAAATTAAATGTATATTTATTTTTCTTCTCTTGCATAAGAATTTCCCGGCAACGAAACCAACTTCTATCTTGTCCTTTAATTGCTTAACCAGATTCATATACATCTCAAACCACTTGAAAAGGATTGTTTTATGTTTTTTCATTCAATTTTAAAAGTCACATTCTCATCACAACAACAACAACAATAGTCACTCCCATTACATCGTATATATAATGGACAGGAGATTTATTACCATTCAATTATTAATGAGTTTTACAATCTAATTTTTTCATTGCTTTAAAACAAAAATTAAAATCAAATATATCTCACAAATCGTATATAACATATAGTTTCAAAATCCAACAATCAAATGTAATGTTTTCCTCCTAAAATAATCAATTAGTGTACAATGAAACGAATCTCGTTAGTGCCAATAAATCAAACAAAACAAGGAGACCAAGGAAGGTTTCTAAAACACATTCAAATGCCTATAATTCCCACTTTCTTCTATATCCAAAGAATCCAACAGAAACGGCGTCGTGTAATTTCCATCATCTTCTTCTTCACCATCACATGATCTAGTCATGAGTTCTTTCGCTCTATCAACTTCGACTTCCCAATCAGTCCTAGCCAACACAACCAACATAGAAACCAAGCACGAGCTTTGAGCTGCGAACAGACCTAGCCACAGTCCCGTGAAGTCGTACCCATTAAAGAAACTTAACCATATAGCTACTGGCATTCCCACAAAGTAGAAACAACACAAGTTTATGTTTGCTCCTAACTTAGGTCTCGCACTTCCTCTCAACACTCCACACACTGTGGTCTGAGGACAGTTCCCTAGCTCGCAAAGCCCTATGATCGGTAAAACCATTGAAGTCAACTTCAAAATCTCTTCCTCATCTGTGAACAATCTTGCCCAGCAATTCCTCACCATGAATGCGAAAAACATGGCGAATAAGCCTAAACCTAGGCTTAAACCTAGTCCCGTTCTCGCGGCTATCCTTGCTTTATCCGGCTGATTCGCACCTAGTTCGTTCCCAACACGTGTCGAAACGCTTATACTCAAAGATGAAGGAAAAATGTAGATCAAAGCTGTGGTTTGAATCAAGATTCCCATCGATGCAACAGTTGCTTGCGGATTAAGTAACAGTCCACATAAAAGAATCATGATTTCGTACCACCACCATTCTAGACAAACCGAGACACAGCTAGGTATTGCTAGTTTCATTAGAGATCCCCATCCTCTAAAACAATCCATTGAGAATCCTCCCCAAGTCTTGTCGTAAACACCGGAAAACACGATGTAGATGATCAGAAACCCTAGGAGGTTGACATTAGTCCAGATTGCTCCCAAAGCAACTCCTTTGAGTCCGAGACCGAGGGAAGAAACGAGAAGGTAATTGATCGGAATGTGGAGCAATACGGCGAAGAAAGCAGAGTAAGTAAGAGGCAGAGTGATCGATTGAGATCGGAGGTAAATACGGATAGGATGCAAAAAAGATTGGAGAATCAGATCAGGGAGAGAGAAGAGGATAAAGATCTCAGCTTGGTTCGAGATTTCTTCGTCTTGTCCGAAGAACAAAAGGATCTTTTTAATGTTGAGCCAGAGGATAGAGATGGGGAGAGAACAGAGGAGAAGCAAAAGTGTGGTTCTTTGCAAAGCAAGGCCTAAAAGTTTGAATCTTTTGGCGCCAAAGGCTTGAACGCAGATGGGTTCCATGCCGATAGAGAGACCGGAGAGGAGAGAGTAGCCAGTGATGTTGGCGAATCCAAGCGCGAGAGAGCCGCCAGAGAGAGCAGAGAGGTCGTTGAGACGGCCGAGGAAGAGCATTGAGATCATTGAACGAGAGTAGAGAAGTAAACCAGTCAAAATCATCGGGAGAGATATCTTGGCGATTGATTTAGCTTCTTGAATTAAAGAGGAGAGATGATTCTGGTCTGGATTCGGATCTTGTCGGTGATCTATGTGGTTCTTGATGATCAAAGGAGCTGCCATGATTACAGGTTTGAGAGAGAAAGAGAAAGGATGAAGAAGAAGGAGAAGAAGGTGTTGGTTGATGTGTGAAAGGTGTTGTTATAAGTTTTGAAAATTACGTCGTCACTAATTAAGCAGCACATAGGGAACAAGGAGATGTTATTTTGACTAAGATATTGAAGTTTCTTTTAATTATAACAATTTTGGCGGTTTTTAATTTGACTAGCCATTATGTCATCTGTTATTATTATGACTCCGTCTTCCTCCTACACTATTTTCTTTATTATATTTTTGTCATTTGTGGAAATACAAAAAAAAAAACTAAAATTTTCCAAGAAATTATGTTTTTTTTTGGAATAACTTTACTTTTCTTCATGTTTATTTTTTTCAGGAAAATATTTATTATTTTGTTTAGTAATGATTTCCATTGTGGAAAATTAAATACTCAAAATTAAAAATTTCCAAGAAAATATGCGGCAAATACAAAACAAAGTTTCCAAGAAAATATCAGTATTTGGAAATTTTGCTTAGTATTTTATTTAATTTTGTTAGAGATATACATACATTATACAACTAAGGTTGAGATATAATTGAGACGTTTTTGGGATTTCTATTCTTAAATTAAAAAAACCAGTGTAACAAATTGACTCGTGTCGTTTTCTTCCTCACTTTTAATAGTATTGAATTTGACTATTAAAGGGATTCTTCAAGGTACCCCAAAGAAAAAAATTGTTTTGTAAAAATAACAAATTCTTTACAAAACACAATTAGTTAAGTAGTAATGGCGATTAATTTGGCTTCTTCGATCGGTAAGATCACACCATATTCGTCATAATCGAGTATTGTATAAAATAAGTTTCCATTTTGTTCGAGTCTTTGACCAATAATGTAGTATAAGAAATCTCCTAATGTTTTCTATAGGATACAACTTCGTCCCATTCTATTTTTGTCGATCCAAATAATAATTATATTAAGCAGCTGTAAAGATTGATATCAAGTTGTTCCCAAATACTAAAAATTTAAACATTTCTGGACCGTTTATATTAAAATTCTCAAGATGTTGATGCTTACAATAAAGTTGGGAATTTATATGGAATATACACCTATTTAATACACAATTATAAATTTCATTGTAATTTATTGGACCACCCTATTCATATATAGTCGATCGAGGGGAAAAATATTATAGTTTGGCAGAAAAAAGAAAGACTTTTCATAATTAGTTTCATTGAATATATTTTTGTGAGTGTTTATATAAATTAGGAATATGAATTTATTGTTTGTGCATAAATATAATACGATGTCACATGCTTCACCTCTATAGAATGTGGACCATTAATATAGCTTAAGTTGTTGATAATATGGGAAAGAAAAATAACATTATCTTATCACGAGCCATGTCGATTGTTTGTTATATTATAATATAAATAAAGAATTCACAAGTGTAAATAGAAATACTAGAAACTTGTATGAAATATAAATAATAATTAAAATGTAAATATCTATAAATGCCTAAATGGTATGACAAATATATTGAAATCACATTATAAAAATAAAATATACGTAATATCCTAGTGAATATTTCTATCAATTCTATAGAGGCTGTCACTTTGTATATGACCAAAGACAGAGTTGATTTAATTTATGTTTTTTGCATCAAGAACATAAATTTTTTCCCCCACTAAATTTTTTTTCAAGTATAGGAGTAAACACCTATTATCACAAACTAAATCAAATTTTGTGAATATTAATTTAATTAGGTTAAGATTATCTTGACAAGAAAAAAGGTTAGTCTATGAACTTAATAGAGTATTTATTTTTGTTAAGTAATTTTTTTTTCTCTAACAAACTTAACAATTGTGTTCATAATTCTCTTAACCCTGCCAATGTTTGATTGTATATTTCCTATAATCATCCGTATACCAGTTAATGGCTGTTCATAGATATACATTCTAGAAACAATATCTCCATATGATCAAGGTAATTAAACAACAATATCTTGTGAGACAAAAGATGTCATATAGTCAAAAACGTTCAAAAATCAATAATATCCCTTGGCATAGAATGAATCAAACACCATAAAGAGATCCTAAGTAATAGGAGGAATCGTAATATAGTCTTAATTTTTATGCATTCTTATGCATGTAGCTTTAACCAAACAAACCTTTGTGTCCTGTCGCTTAGTGACTTTGGTTTATGAGATTATCCGATAAGCTAATAAGAAGAGTAAAAAAAAAAAAAAGTACTCTACACATTCAATAGCTTAATTTTTTATACAGTTAATGCATATATAAATTTAGAAGTTGTCGTGGGATCTAAGACATCAATCATCGTGTTATCTTATAAAAATGGTAAAAACGGTCATGCTTTAGGTTTGAAACATTCCTCTGTAATGGGCTTCGTTTGCTTTGGAATATATATATTTCAGATATTAAACCCCAAAAAGAAAACAATGACTTAAGAAAATGTATATTTTTACCATATTCTATTTCATTATAGTAAGTTGTTCATGTTGTTAATTATAATTGGGAAAAGAATTAACTTAAAATGACAAACATTTGTAAGATTCTTGAAACAAACTATTAATCATGTAAGAAAAATAAAGAGATCACCCCACAATATTTGACAAAAAAGAAAAGAAAAGAGATCAGTACCCCATAAGAATAAGATATGGTTTTGGTTATATTGGCTATTTGGCTCGTGTTCTTTATTTCAGAGACTCTCAAATAAACGAGATAAAACGTTCTTTTGCCAAGGAACACTAATTTAAAGCCCAGTATTTGTTAGATAAAGCCCAACAGATACCTTCCATCAATTTGAGCGTCACAACTAATCTTTTTTTTTTTTTTTTCGTAATCAACAATTTTAACTAGATCGTAAACCTAAACACAAGCTCACAAGAAAAAAAAACAGTCATACTGAATCACTACAAGGATTACATTATAAAAACGTTTATGACAAAACCAAGCAACATAACTCAAACCCAAAAAGAAAAGGAAAAAACTCATAACCTCCTCACGATGGGAAACATGATTATATATTTTTTTTTTTGAAAATAATGTTAAATTATATTCAAAAGAAAAAGGGTTTCGGTTTTAAAACAAGTGCAACAATGATCGAAAATAAACGCTGAAATTTTACTGAAAATTCAGAGGAAAAATAGAGAAACATGATTATAAACTTCATAATTAACAAATAACAACCTACACAACGATGCAAAGATATACTATCTTCTAAGCTTTAAAGTCAGAAATACTCTAATGAGATTAAGCTAAGCCAGTTGCATCGTTGCAGTGTCGAAGCTGTTATATATATATAACAGGAGAGATCTACTATACGTGGACGTGGTGGTGGGCGAAAGCTGCATGGAAGCCGCAAGAATCTCTCGTCCACTGTCTTTTTATTTACGAGGTCAACTTAAGGTCTTTTATTCCCGTCTTAATTAAACCCATAAACAAAAACTAATTACAAATTTGTACAAAACCTTTTCTTATTCGTAAATGTTTTTAAATTTCAGTTGTTGCATGCAGTTTATTAAAAGTTTATATATGTTCTCTTTATTTATATAGAATACTTTATTAAGTGTTTATAAGTTTTTATAATATTGACATATATATATATATATTTTTCTATGTGGAGACCAAATGTTGTGCTTCAAAAGTAATATCTATCTTTTTCAAAATATATATATATAGCATTCAATGTGTACATTTAAATCCAACATGATTTACTTGTTTTCTTGTCTGTCAATTTTTTTTTTTTGGTGGGTTTCTTGTCTGTCATTTTAATGATTGAGTTTGTATACTCCTCCTATCGATGATTTCTAAAAAAAACCTACGAGTTAAAAAGAGAAAAAAAAGGAAAAAAAAAAGACTTTAAATATAAAATGAGGATGTTGTGCCTATGAGTTAGTATAACTTATATAACACAAAAAAAAAAAAAAAAAAAAAATGAAAGTCTGCATATGATTTTAATAGGATTGAGCAAACACACCCTTAATTAGTACTAAAATTATTAAAAACGCATGTGGATTCTCTATATATGTGTATTGTTGAGACTCTTACGCTGTGATTCAATAATTTTGTAAGTATTAGACTTCTAAAAACATTTTCTCCATACGGAACACCTCATATACCAAATCGATAATGTTTTGCAAGTAATCTCAACGAATAGTATATAATCAATCATTTGAGAATTTTCATCTAATCTCATGACAATCGTAATAACTGATCCTCTCGTCAGTCGTCACGTCGCTACCACCTCTTTTATTTCTTTTGCATATATATTTTCTATCTTACTTATAAACATATATAAATTCATAAAATGTATAAATTTTCAAATTCCCTATATTTCGCTTATGTGTGTGTGTATATATATATATCAATATTAACTTTCAACATTACATTGTTTGTTTTTGTTTTTGTTTTTGTACATTAATAACAATTACAATGAACAATGTAGTCTCCTAACTTCTCAATAGATACAATATTTAAAGTTCCAACAAATCTCTAAATCAATAAAATAATTAACAAGCGTAATTCATTCAAATTTAAAAGATTAAGGAACTAAAGATACCAAATAAAATCTGATCAGGTTATATAATTAATACAGCCACACATAAGCTTTCATTTCCATAACTCTTTCTTATATACATCTTTATGTAACTCTCTCTCTCTCTCTCTATTTATCTCCATCAATCTCACCCATCACTCTCATATCTTCAGATTCACATGCTCTTCGAATATTATTGCTTCCTTCTCCAATGGCATCGATCAGTTCCTCCTCCGATCATCACCACCTTCCCGTGAGCAAAAGAAGGTTAAAGCCATTGATATTACGAGATTACCTTCTCGAAGATCTCAGCTCATGCTCATCCAACGGCTTTAAATCCTTCCCTCGCATCCTCGACGCCGAGATCAAACGGTCAAGAACCATCCACCACACTCCTCGTCTCACCTGCGGGTTAGCGTTTGGTCACGCCGTTCATAAAGCTTCCTCGGCTTTACTCACCGCCGTTAAACTCTTGCCGTTCCCTTCCTCCGTTAAGAAGAGAGATGATGAGAACAAGAAAGGGCTGTTCTCAAGAACCTTCTGGAAGATCAAACCTTCACGACGTGAACTCAACGTCGTCGACGGAGACGGAGACGGAGAGAACGAACAAGAAACGGAGGATGATCGTGAAAAGGAGATCCAACGGTGGAGAACATTCGCTGAGTTTCTCCAAGAGAGTCAAGATTTATACCAACCGTCCGATCAGGTTTCTCACGTTCCCTCGACGTATTCGTTTTCCGGTGAAGCGGCATTGTCAAACGACGCCGTCGGTGACTCGCTAAGTTTTAGTAGCGAGAACTCGGAGGGGACTCACTCATCATCATCATCAGGCGAAGTAGCAGTTATGACTAGTGGGGATTGTGTAGGGTTACATGTCAGTGACAACGCAGAGGTTAGTTAGTTAACAAACTTTCAATTTTCTATTTTTTTTGCTTATCAAATGATCATCCGCCACGTCAGTTTCTTAATGCACCAATCCATTAATAACACTTTATTACAAACAGCTAAACAATTAAAGTGAACTCAGTCGAATTTAACGTGTAAATAGTAGAGAGATATGTTGTTGGGTTTTGTTTTTATAAAGTTGTCGGTTCGTACGTGAGTCACGTGTGTGTTGTGGTAGGGACTTAGATTTTTTGGAATGTGAATAAATATGAGCGATGTAATCGAGGGCTCTGATTCTTCTTGGTGGCTTCGAAAACGGATTCTACGGATGATATCACTCAATTCCCAACGTCAAAATTGGTCCAATGCTAGAGTATAATTACGTTTCGGAATTAGTACAAATTTAAATATCGGAAACTGTGGAGAAGATGTAAAATGTTGTTGTTGTAATTGTCATGATGTGGGTTGACTTAGCCAACTCACTCTTTAGAATTTAGAAAATCTAAAATCGTGCACATTTTACTACGAAGTTGATCTCTCGTTTTACGTGTAGTACTTGTTCTCATTTACTATTTGAACTAATCAGTTAATGTAAATTGTAGGAATGCGTGAACGAAGAAAAAGAACAGCTGAGTCCCATATCGATCTTGGAATGCCCGTTTGAAGATGATGCAATCTCTCCTCCTTTGCATCACTTGAGTAAAGTCACTGATTATATCCTTACGTTCTTGAATATTCGCTAATTGATATAGAGACATTAGTTGTTATCAGATAGGTTTCGTTACATTTTCAAGTTAAACTGATCAATCCGATGAGCTAATCTTTTACATTTTTTCATTTATAGAAGCAAATGAAATTAAACAGACGAGAGTATGCAGAAGATTTGGGAGTTTTGTACGACTTGAGCCTGTGGATTTAGAGAAACGCATAGAGATATATGTGGAAAGCCAAGATTCCAACTATCACGTTACAAAACCCAAAGAAGATCAATCCCAAATCCGAGCAAACCGTTTGTTTGCTCTAGTGAAGTCTAGGATAACCGAAGAACAGAACCATCTACTGGCATCTCATGTAGTAGACAATGTGATGCTAGATTTTTTCAAAGAAAACGGGAATAATGAGACAAGAGACGAGAACAAGTTGGTGGAGATAGTTGAAGAATGGGTGACGAGGAGACAAGAAGAAGAGTATAATATGTTCATGAGTTGGGCAGTGAGAGAGAATAGAGAGATCTATGTAAAAGAAATGAAATGGGGTTGCATCAATAGAGATGGGAGAGAGTATGTGGTTGAAGAGTTGGGGAACGGTTTCGTTAGTTCCTTGATTGACGAACTTATTCTTGATTTATCCTAGCTAGTAAAGCTAAAATTTTGTTCACACGTTCTATTGTAATGCAATAATGCATCACCAAATGCTATATGTATTACTATATATTGTTATCTTAAGTAGACGACTAAACAGTATGAAATTTAGAAGTAAACAAAAAAAAAGTAGTCCAAGGAAGATGGGCCTATATATAGCTATTTTTGGGTTTTAACCACTTTGATTCGATGATGAATGATGATGCGATGGTATGGAAGTGATTGTTGCGATCATTGTTGTCCTTCTCCGTGCGCGGACGTACTAAATTAAATAGTCTTTTTGGTAAAATACTAAATTAAATAGTCACGTCCTTAACCGGATGAAAACAAATTTTGATATTTGAAACTTTGTTTACTTAGGATTTATAAGATTTTAATCATTTGCATTTGTCGTGCTTACCAAATATCACGACATATCACCTATCACTGTATTTTTAATCACATATATGATATAATTATTTGGTAATATTGTGTGTTTAATATATATATACACTACACATATAATAGTTTCGAACTAAACATGCTTATTTGATCATTAAAAATGAATATGTTGAATATAAATAAGACGTGTGATATAATATAACTATGGGTAACTATAAGTCTACTAAATTAAGAAAATATTGTTAAGTTGTTATGATATACTATAAAATATTTGAAATTGCATTTATACAAATATTTTCAAAAATTGCACCTATTCTATTTCTGCCAACCCTATTTTGCGCATGGTAAGACAGCCCATAATTAACTTTTAAAGTAAATAATTTATAGAAATTTGTAGTACGTATATGATATGATTAGTTGAATATAAAAGAAAATAAAAAAGATCGTATTTATGTTTATGGAAAGAAGGAGACAGGAGTGTAACTGGACCTGTCTTCGGTTTGGTAAGATTCCAGTGCAAAGTACAAAATGGCCGAAGCTATATAGACCCACACCAATTTTGACCGTACGTCACTCTATTGTCTCTCTAACGACTTTGATTCCGTAACTCGATTCGACCCCATTTTCAAATATTATATATATCTTTCTTTCTCTTTGTATATGATAATATGAATATGATGTGTAAGTGTAATGTGATCGGTTGCTTCCAAATGCAAAAGTCTCTCCAGCTAGCAAAGTCTTTCGTTTATTATAAACCACACGAATGGTCTTAACTTAAGCAAGAAAAAAAATATCTACGAGCTATAGTGTGATCACTTTTGTTATATGCATAGATATTATCATTTATAGTTTTATGTTTTGATACCATTTCACGTAAATATTTTTTACCTTAAGATTAAAAGATATGTATTTGTTTTTAAAAACATAGTAATGCTAATTGCGATGTAGTACTTTGTTGTTGTTGTTGAAATGCAAAATTCACTGGTCTTATTTGTTGAGGAGTTGGATTAGTCACGATTAACCGCTTCTGATGAGTTAAAATTTCTCTGATTTATTGTCAATATTCATGTAATTAGTATCTCACGACGGCTATGCATGTATACGTGATTACAATTATTCTATTTTCTAGAGTATTATTTGTTTTTCCCATTTCAACTGGTTGTTCCGTCGTTGTCACAATTCCAAGCAATTATTAAACGTTCGATCTTAAACAAAAACCATTTTTGTCTATGTGCTAATTTCATACGATTATACTCGCATTAGGTTTTGGTTTCACCAATTAGAATCAGATTAGGAATAAATTAAGAATGTATATTTTCGACTGTTCACCACCCTACACGACGACACCTCCACCTAATTATGCCATACTAGCATTTACTTCATTGACTAAATATTGTCGTAGTCCCTAATTGTTATTCTTGACTCTTATCTTTTTTCAATGATCAGATTTTACTATAGTTTCCAATTACGACAAAACAGCTACTCTCTTGGTGAACGAATGAATATGCGTGAGATGTATATGAAGATAGAAAGATGACAAAAGAAGAAGAAGAAGAAGACCAAAACGTGTCCAAATGTATGTTAATATGTTATCCTAACATAACCAAGAGCTACATATATATAAACGCATTTAACAATACGCCACTACGAAAAACCAATAAAACAAATCATGAGAAAATGGCCTAAATTGTAAAAGACAGGCTGTAGAGTGTAGATGGCGTCTATTGAGACAATGACTCGATCGTCTTAAACCAGTAAAGTTGACTTGTATAACCCATTCTTGATTACTACTATTAACTCAAATTTTCCTTTTTATATCCTCTCGAAGTTCGAACTTTCCTTTGGTCAAAATAAAGAAAATACTAAAAAAATGAGCCCTCAAGTTTTATGAAATTTGTATTTTATCTATAATATCGCCTCTACTATTCTAATGTATAAAGTGTAAACATAGTCATTGACACACTTTCTCCCTTTACTTTATATGAATGAAGATTTGATGATATCATAATTGTAGGCTTCTAGTTAAGGTTTGTTTGTGATTAAAGAAAAAAAGCTACTTATAAAACGGACTTAAGTATCCATGGATTTTATTTTTTATGAAATGTAGAAAAAAAACCTTAATTTTGTTTACTATAATAAGATAATTTATATGGTTTAGAGACAAATCCAGATATTTTGATTCACTCATAGCATTTAATATTTTATAATTATATACTTAAAAAAACAAAATAAATGCTACTATAAATCAGTTTTTACAATCATATATACACAGATACAATAAAAACTGTCATAAGATTTTCTTTATTTTGTTCTAATATAACTCTGGTGGTAAATCTGAAAAATCTGTGACATGATCTTAATTTAGCATACATGAGATTATGCAATAAAAAGGTCCTAGAAAAAGAAAGGAGAGATGTCACGTTGGGCAATGAATTTTTTGTCATGATGTGTAGACAAGACACAAGTTTCAGTCCTCAAATGAAAAATAAAATAAGTACAGGGACTTAATTGCAAAGCGTTGAGATTTTCTCGGTAAAAAAAAAACAGAAAAAGTGAACAGAAAACGTAAAAAAAGTAGAAGAAGAAGAAGAAGAAGAACGCTTACGAAGAAGAAAAAAAACGTGTCACCAAGTGGCGAATCACGCGACGAGTCTTTGGACCTCGCCTCTTCTCTTCTCTTCTCTTCTTCATGCGTTTCCTCATTCCTTCTTAAAAGCTCTCTTCTTCTTCCTCTTTTACTTAAGTTACTTCTTTCTCTCTCTCCTTTTAAGTTTTTTGGACATAGACTTCGAGAGAGAGAGAGTGAATTAGTAGAGACGAGTTTGGTTTATTGCAATTACACTTTTTTGGGGTTTTATCGAGTAGTGATAATTATGAGTGACTTCAATTCCTAAGTTTTTTTATTCTTAAATTTTTTCTGGGTTTTGTTTGTTCGATTGATCTCTGTCTCCCACCTTTTATAAAAAGAGAAATCTGTTCTTTTGTAAAAGAGAAAAAAATGAAGAACGAGGAACAATCAAGATCTCTGTTTGGAATCTCTCTGTCTGATCGACCAACTTGGCAACAGTTTCTCATTTGTACTTCTGGTTTCTTTTTTGGTTACCTCGTCAACGGAGTTTGCGAGGTTTCGTTTTCTCAAATTCCCTCTCTCTCTCTCTTTTCTAATTTTCTAATTTTGATTCGAGGATTCAGACAAAAGTGATCAATGTTTTTGTTTGTTCTTGTGATAATTTCACGTACCCAGCTCCTGATTCTCGTAAAGTTTTGGTTTTGTTGTAATTCAGACCATTTGCATGCTAAGTGTTTGATGTTTGGTTTCTGAGAACAAACAAAAAAACAGAGGAATAAGAAAATATTGCATGACGAACTAAACTCTCTCCAACCACACACACACGCACACAAACAATTTGGATTCTATCTTTGAAAACTTAGTGAAGATTTCTGAATAAAATAAAAAAATGTTGTGATCTTGAAGATCTAATAAAATGACTCATGTATGATCATTGACTTGATTTGTTTTCTTTGATTTTGCAGGAATATGTTTATAATCGCCTTCAATTTAGGTAATTAGTCAACTTTGAGATCCTCTTAATTTTGAGAATTTAAGAGAAAACAAGTAAGTAACAATGGGATTTGCTCTGTTTTGTAGCTTTGGTTGGTATTTCACGTTTATACAAGGATTTGTCTACTTGTTCCTCATCTACCTTCAAGGCTTCACTACTAAGCATATCGTTAATCCCATGAGAACTTATGTCAAACTCTCTGCTGTTCTCATGGGTTCACATGGATTAACCAAAGGATCTTTGGCTTATCTCAATTATCCAGCCCAAATCATGTTCAAATCCACCAAGGTAATGAATCCACAAATCTCTCAATGAGTTTTAAAGTTGGCTTAAAGTGTTTAGAGAATGATCAAAATGATCGACGTTTTAGGTACTGCCGGTGATGATAATGGGGGCGTTTATACCTGGTCTGCGAAGAAAATACCCGGTCCATGAATACATTTCAGCGTTCTTGCTTGTTCTTGGTTTGATCCTATTCACATTAGCCGATGCGCATATGTCTCCTAATTTCAGCATGATTGGGATTATGATGATATCTGGTGCATTGGTCATGGATGCTTTCTTGGGTAATTTACAAGAAGCGATCTTCACAATGAATCCCGAGACAACTCAGGCATGGAACACCAAAAAAAATCAAAAAAACCCGGTTCTTTTTTCGGTTTACTTTACTGTTCTTATCTGACATTCTTGAAATGTAATTCGTGCAGATGGAGATGCTTTTCTGCTCAACGGTTGTTGGATTACCGTTCTTGTTCGTTCCCATGGTCTTAACTGGAGAGGTGTTTCGTGCGTGGGCTGCGTGCGCTCAAGTAAGTAAACAACCTCTATTTCCATTCTTTTTCTCTTGTTTATGTTTTGGTCTACCCGTTTTTACAACGTTGAGGTAAGTCTTGAAGTGAAAGTTTCAAAGATTGGACTTTGTATTGGCTTTGAAAGTTCTTGGTTTAAGGTTTGACTCGGTTCATAATTCAAACCGGAGTCAGACTCGGTTTAGTCTCTTGAAGAAGAAAGTCAAAATTTGTAGGATCCTTGGAACCGACGAAGTGAAATCGTTGACCGACGACGTGCCTGAATCTGCCAAACTTTATAAAAAAAATGAGATTAAATTCACTGTTTCTATGACTATAGTACCAACGTGGACTATTTTAATCATAACGGTTTAATGATTCGTTTAGTTGACATATTTAAATTCAAGTGTTCCTTTTGTGTGTATTTGCAGCATCCGTATGTGTACGGAGTGCTTGTATTTGAAGCCATGGCCACATTCATCGGTCAAGTCTCTGTTCTATCACTCATTGCCCTCTTTGGAGCCGCCACAACCGCCTTGGTAAAACATCTAATCTTCATCTTTGAACGCTCACTTGTGTTTTTATTTGACTCAAGCGTTCTAAATTCACATTTCGGTTAACAAAATGTTTTGTGTAGATAACAACAGCAAGGAAAGGGGTTACATTGTTGCTATCGTATTTGATATTCACAAAGCCGTTAACGGAACAACACGGATCGGGGTTGTTGTTGATTGCAATGGGGATTGTATTAAAGATGGTTCCGATGGATGGTAAAGCTCCGACCAAGATTCCGGCAAAGCCAGCAGTTAGAATCACTGGAGGGGATGGTGATAGAGAAGAGGATGAAGAGAGGAAGTCATTGGTTTGAGAATGTGTCATGTATTTATATATATATATATTCTATTTCACAAAATTCAAAGGGGTTTATAGAATAAAGTTGAATGAAGGAAAAACAAAAGGGAGAAAAAGCAAATAGAGCTAAAGTTTGTCTCAGAGACTTGTTATTAGATTCTAAAAGTTGAATCATTAAAAAGGAAGTTCCTAATTTTGGTTACTTTGGTTTCACTCTTTTGCTCTTAAAAATAACAGGCATGAGTCCCATCATTATTAACTAATATGTATATCATATAACCAAAATCATCACAAAGATGGAAACACTACAGACTACATTTTAAAAGAGAGTGAAGAACCTGATTTTATCTAAGATCCTGCAATTTCTTTCTCTGATCTATGGATAACAAAATGATCGACGACCTTTACGGTGTTGACAGGATCCTGCTGCAATATTGTTGCACACCATTTGCTTGGGTACATTCTGTGATGACTCATCTTCACAGTCGGTCTCGACTCTGCATCCCAGTCCTTGTCCAGCTTCCATTCCTTTGGCACCTGGACTCATTCATCACATACACTCTTCTGGTTAATTCCATAATCACAAACTTTTCTTTTGTCATTTTAACCCCAAAGATTTTTTCTCACCTTGTCTACCCCGAGAGTGAAGACTTCAAGGTCACCATCAGGTTTGATGTGGAGACGGGTGAATGATTTGTAATTGGCTATCCGAAGCGAAGAGAATGCTTCATCAAAGTGTATGTGAAGCCAGTTGATGGATATATATAAGTAACTTCCAAAAACCAAAGATACAACAGGAGTTGAGAAGACCCAAAAGTATAGGAAGACAGAAGCATAATAGATTGCTGCTCCGCTTCGAGAAAGTGAATCCATTCCTTTTTGACATATGTTAGTCCGAGTAACCGCCATCACCTATTGTGAAATACTTCAATTTCAGCTGCAATTTTCTTTCTATTTTACCTAAAATGAAGGCTTAGTTGATGAATTATGCTACCTCGGGAATATCAAATGCTGACATAAGATACTTGATGCAGGCGGGATAAAATCCAAATGTCCATTGTTCAATACGGTCTCGAAGGCCAGTAGGGTCTGGAAAGTGTTCATTTTCTACTGATTTGTACCACTGATACAATGTATGATACCCTGTGTAGCCAAGAGATTCAAAATGTCAAAATCTGTTAAGGTTTGAGCACATATGCAAAAAAAAAAAGTTTGATTAAGGTAGGATCACATATTTAATCTATTACTGTCATGAAATTGTAATAAGGAAAGCCAAAGAACATTATATGGCAAGGAAACTGACCGGACGTCGCAAGGAGCTTATGTTGAATACAGATTTCTATGCCAAGTTCCAACAACAACATAAGAATCAAAGCAGCTGTCAGGTGTGCAGCAACATGAAGAATTCCAATTACCAATCTTTTCCTCCGAGATATTTTTGAGGGAACAAACATTATTGCAGTTATTAGCAACATAAGAACACCGGTGAAAGACACATATGACTTCTCTATTACATACACAAAGGAGTTCCAAACTGTGCCAAAGAAACTCCCCAGGTGGCCAGAAAATGAATCACCTCGTAAGATATGGCCTAGCTTGCACTGAAACCAAAGAGGAACGAAAAATAAAGACCTTCTCGTAAGTGTAAATGAGCATGAAAGATGATTTGCGCAGGAAAAACACTACTACAGGATATAGTTATGCAAGGGCTGTCTCAGTTTCAGCACTTCGTAGTAGATGCTGGTAATGTGTATAGTTTCAATACGCAAATCTTAATGACCAATTCAGGCTGTACTGCTAACAAAAGATATATAAATGGAAAAACAAGAAATAGTTCATATGAAAATAGAGTGAGAAAGTCAAAAGCTTGTAAAACCGCACCTGAGGGAACAAGGAAAAGACCAAGAGAAAGTATATGATGCCACCAATGAAATCAAATTGCCAGTTCTTTTTCCTGAACTTTAAAATATTCCCCAAAGCAATCTGCAAAGAACAGCAAACAACATAAAATATCTGAATGCAAAGAAAACAAGGCAAATCAGTGATCGTGGATAAGAGACCCAAGAAACAAGAAAAAAGAGTACCCTGCTTGAATCATCAAAAGAAGGATATGCAGATTTACTTTCGTAAGATGCACCATAAAACTTTGAAAAGTTACTGAACACATGGGTGGGATGCAAAAAAGCCCCTCCACAACCATTAACAATGAGATGTTGGACATGAGCAAGTCCATCTGATTGAGTACATGAATGACGCATATAATGATGCAAATCTCCTGCCATTCTAAGTTTACACCTGCCTTTCAAAAAGTCACAGATCAGGTGCCTCATGTTCTTTCCAGTATCGTCTTTCCAATACCAATCAAGAAGCCAGTTTGGCTCATGTGTGATAATGATCACTGCATCATTCTCTCCAACCTATATTAAAAGATAAAATCATTCATCAACACAACAAATAAATTTTTACTAGTATCAAGTAGAAGACCCCAAACTCTAATAGCCTAAACCAAGATCTTCACAAACAAAAGATTAACTCAAAACATATATCACAGAGCTTCATAAGTTGTGAACAAAATATCAAAAGAGCTGGAGTAGATGGAAGTAGTATATTTTGCATAGTATCTGCAGAATCTATTTAGCAAGGGAAAGAAAGATGATGCTGAATCTACCTTCTCCTTCACTAATTCAGAAAAGAAATTGAACTGGTACGCATCAATATCACCATGAAGCGCAAGATCCAAACCAAAGACCCACCATCCTTTAGGTAGCTGCAGGGCAAAATAGCTTTTCTTTTGAGGCATTAACCAGCCACCCAACCAACTTTTATGGCATACATACCTCATGAAAGTATTAAGTCCATCAAACCAGTCTAAAAGGTTAAATAAGAACACTACAATTAGAAGCAATAGCGACAAACACCAATTATGTAAAAAATATTACTAGAGAAAGATATGAAGTTGAGAGCTGAAACCCACCATGGTTTCCAGGGATAAGAAAACATTGAGGACCATCATAATGCTTCAGATCAGACACCCCCTCAGGTAATTCAGGCTTGTCAACAGAGATTGAATCTGTTTTATACCAAAGGGGAGGTTGAAGCGCATACTCAAAAGGACAAAATAAACGTTTTTCATATGTAAATGCTGATGGATTGGGGTATCTGCAATATATCATAGAAAGACATCTTCAGATCTGACAAACAAAATAGAGAACATGGAAATCACATGTATACGAAAATCTTACGCAAGATCTCCCCCAATAAGCAGTACGTTACCCCTTTGTAGAGATATAAAATCATTATCTAGCGGGACTTTGATAAAAGGCTGAGCTAGGAGTTTCGCGACAGAATATGATGAATTTCCACCATCACCAGTATCCGCCATAAAGTCAAACCAGAAATCATTCTTATCAGTTAAGTGGTCATATAAAAGTTCCTTGCTCTTGTTTCCATCACAATCATTGCTCATTGCAGCCTACAGATATATGAACGGGGTAGGTTACAAAAATTGGAATATACTAAGAAAATTACAATGCGGAACGATAAAAGGATCTGAGATGAAGAGGCAATAAATATCACTAACAAATATTATACCTGCATCATTCGCATGTCAAAGCGGCCAAGAAAGACAGTGACTGATACGAGGAGGTCAAACACAGTTTTAAACAAATCAGCTGAAGTTCTGAAATAGATAATCAGACAGATCAGACCATGCTCAAGTATCCTACTTTAAATGTGTATTCTTCAAAGAAAACATCAGTTGGCATAGACATACCCTGAATACCAAGGAACCATATCTAAGAAATTAGGTTTCATTTGTTGCCTCTTCAACTTCTCATAATTTTCGACAGACAGAGGGTGTGCCAGAGCCCACCTAACCGTACAACAAAAATTAACATAAGACACCTAATTATTCTGTATGTGTTGAATACTTTAGTTACAATATTCGTTTAACAACAACTATGCCAAAGCTGCTACTTACCCTGTTGATCTCTCAACTACATAATTAGCAATGTAAAGGCCAATAAACGTTGCCCACAACGAGTATATAGGAGAAATTTCATCAGATGAATCAGGACAAGATCCATTGCATGCCAACTGCAGATAAAAAGGTAGGAACATGACAGAGACTGGTCAAATAAGCACGTACACAACAATTTAGAATAGTATCAGAAGCCAGACCTCCCCATAGATGACCCATTTGGACAGTAATGGATAGTCACGTGCAGATCCAACAGGAGCAAACCATGATGAGCAGACTTGGTCTCTCAGCTCATCAATGTGAGTAAATTTCGCAAGCCAAGTACTGTTGCCATCTTCTCCTTTCCATAATGAAAAACGGCTAGAATGCTTTCTTTCAAGGGGTGTTTGGCTCTGAAAAGCACGATTACCACAATGGCTGTAGAAAATACAGCACGCTATGCTAAGAACCTGCACAAGATAAAAGACAATAAAATTTAATTGATATTTAAAATAGTGCTTATAAGCAAGTGTTCTTTATCTACAAGATTGGGGATAGCGTACGTACAGCACAACTTTGAAGAATGGTTAAGATCTCTGGGCGTCTTCCAGCCACACGAGAAACAAGACCAATATACCAAAGCCCAAGAAAAATGATGTGGAAGACAAGAAGGAAGACTATGGATGATATGTAAATTGTTAGAAACAAGGACAAATTCATCCTCAAATCCAACCCCATTGACTGAAAACTTGGGAGATGGTACAAAGCTGCAACTAAAATCCAAGCAATGTACCTACAAAATAGAACAAACAAAGAAAAGTGTTCAATTTTTCTGATATACACGTTAGGGAAGACATAATGAAGGATTGACTTACCACCGACTGAAGGTTGAGTAGCTTGGTCGGATAGTCTTTTTGATGAACGGAGATGAAAAGAAATAGAAAAATCCAAGCAAGCAGGCATACATGGACCACCACTTGAAATTATTGTCTAACTTTTCTACAAGACTATGCATGTTCTCCGACGAAATAAAGAATAGGCAACCCAAAATCACAGCAATCATAGCATGGCGTGAATGCTCATGCGGATAAGGGTAAGTATGGGTTAGCATCGTTCTGACCCTCTCCATCTTGAGGTTATGTAGAAAACGAGGAGAATGCTTATCAGATCCCATAGCTTGAGGTTCCTGTAGTCCTTAAAACTCTTGAAGAATCCAAATCTTGACAGAACCAAGAGTGGTTAGC